TTGTACCTTGTGTGACAATGATACCACAGGAGGTCTGATTCCTGCTGAACCACTGAAGCTCTCCGATGGCAATAGTCTTGTCAAACATCAGAATGATCAGTGACCTTCCCTGAGGAATACTGCCTACAAAGATTCTGGTGCTCTTCTCTCATCTCCCAACATTGTCTTCCTAAGTGGCTTAAATGGTGACTGTGCAGATAATTGCAAACTTGTATAATTTTAAAATAAATCTTCAATTCCTGTACTTCAGAAGAAGATTGTGACCAAGTCCTCTGGCTAGCAAATACTACCCCTACAGGCATGGCAAAGCCCAACTCCAGCAACATCTGTTGTCTCAGAGATACATGACCATGCCCTTCCCTGAATTAACCTCCTGCCAGCAGAGGTCCAGTAACCGCCGGTCTAAGGAGGCAGCAGCAGACCCGCCGTTTTTCCTCAGGAAGAGCTATTGGAATTGTGTGCCTCTTGGAAGCAGCAATATTTGCAGTGTGATGAACCATGATTTAAACTCCATAATTTTTTAAAACTATGCATAATTCTTCATAAAATCACAATAAACGATTTTCGCTAACGAGGGTAATTTTGCTTCTTAATGCATTGATGACTTCAACTGGTTCCTGATTTGATCAGAATTTGTAATTGCTCTATTTAAAGATCATCAGACAGCGGACCTTGATCTTTATTATTGTGAAAGGCTCTAACTTTTTATTTTGCAATAACTAAGCCTCATGTACTGCTTTGATTTTAACAAAAATTTATCTCAAGGTTAAGTGGCTGGGCTGATCTAATGGAGAAAGACGAAAAGCAAGAACAGCACACATGAGGCTTACTTAATCACAGTACAGGCCAGGCCTACTGGCTCTCCAAGGTGACGAGTCCTTTGTCTTAACTGCACAACAGGTACAGCCTTTCTGAGCTGGATATCTAGAGATTTACTTTCTGTCCTAGAAAATACTATACACAATTAATTTACCACCAAGCAGATTTCTGGAGTCTTAGTTGGATCTCCTCAATTTAATAGGCTCAACAGTTTTAGCAAGCATAGTGAGATAGGTAGACATGCATCTAAACTAGCTGGCACATGCATATATACAGTCACATACATTTATTCCTCTGTCTTTGGAATGCTTCCCTTGTCTCTCTGCTGACCATTAGCACTGAATAGTTTTGACAAGGTAAATAAACATTTCATTTATAAGTAACAAAGTAGGTTGAGACATCCTTCCCAAAAAACATGCTAGACCAGAGAATTGTTGTGAGGAGTCTTCAACTGTGAGAAAAACAGGAACAGAAGGAGAAGTTCACATCCAATTTGCATGACAGCCATAGGAGGTAACAGCAGTGATTTGTTTTCAGTGTTGTAAGCAAAGGGCTTACTTGATATCTGAAAATATTATCCCATTTACGGTCCTTTGTGGTTTTTAACTTGTGAAAACTGTATTCAAGTGTGCTTCTTTTACTATACCTCAATCTAATGGCAAGAGAAGAATGTGCTGTTGCTGTCGTTAAGAGTTGCTATAATTTCCTCAGGATAAGAAAATCATATAACAAGACTACACACCTGGAGGATTTTGGCAATCCTAAACTTTTAGACCCCATGGTGTGGTTTGATGTAGTGTCTCAAATTTCAAATCTTCAAAATCAGAGGGATGCTTTCTGAAATTGTCAGATCAATTGTATCTTAAATCTCTCAGATCTTGATAGCCCTTGCTTATGAACATGTCTGCACAGAAAGTGAACCAGTTTCATAAAATGTTGCTCAGTTAAGAAGGTATTCTGTACTAGGAGTATTAGCAAAATCAGAGTGGGAACGATTATATTCAGATATGGTAAGGAGCAGCAGGTCAGGCTATGGAAGGGAGAACAAAAAACTTCATGAGATAAAGAAGCAAAACAGAGAGATTGAATGTAGTCAGAAATTACTTGAGAGAAATGAAAAGTCAAAGATGATGCTGCCTGAGTCCATTAGGGTAGGACAGGAAGACTATAACAACTGAGTCTGCAGGTGATGACAGGCTGATGGTTAAAAAGCTGCAATAATATTCCAGCATCAGCGGTTCTCCAGATGAAACAACTTTCAGCTGCTTCTGCGTTTATGGAGTTACTTATAAATGTTAGTTGTTGTCACTAGAAAAAAAACAAAATACCTCTGCTTTACAATTAGGTCTTTGGAACAATCAAAGCCTCATTTTTATTCAGCCAATGAAATACTACAAATTTTCTACAAAAGTAGTCTATAAAACTCCTTTTTCCCCCGGCCTTTTGCTTTGTGTTTTTATTTTAAGGTTTTCTGTTCATTTTTTGTGTGTGTCATGTTTGAGACTGGTATTAGTATCAAGTTATGCTTTTTAAAGCTTCTTCTAGAATCTCTGAACTATTCTAAGGCTGAGTTTTGCCTCTAAGTATCCTTCCAGTGGAAGATAGAGAACTACAATCTAGTAATGAGACATAATATGGGCTCTGGTCAAGCCTGTGAAGCCTTTAATATCCTGGGACTACCAAGTGCATGCTGTGTGTGTAACGTGCAACCAGAACAAAGTGGCCAGCATTTTCATGTGAGTCTGACAGAACTGTCATGTAATATTATTATAAGTCTGCGCTTCTCTGTTGCTTCCTTTCTTTGTGTTCACAACTCTACATTGTGTAATGTTTGAAACAGCTCTAAACTTAGCTCTGTGCAATCCATACATTTTACTAGTTCTATGATGAGCCTGATACTTTTTGAGCCTTATAAAAATATGCACGGACATAAACAAACATAAATCCAACTGGTCAATTTGTTGTGTGGACCATTGTGATATTGTCTAGAAAAAAATTGTGCCAGATGAAATGGAAAAGAATCTGCCTTTTGACCAGGAGGATCTCTTTGAAGAGCAGTGTTCAGTAGCCACAAACACAGTTACAGCATTAATCTGGGGACAGAGTGGCTAGAGAGCACCCAGACAGAGAGGGACCTGGGAGTTTGGATTGACAAGAAGCTGAACATGAGCCAGAGTGTGCCCAGGTGGCTAAGAAGGCCAGTGGCATCCTGGCCTGGATCAGGAACAATGTGGCCAGCAGGTCCAAGGAAGTGATTCTTCCCCTGTACTCAGTGCTGGTGAGGCCACACCTTGAGTACTGTGTCCAGTTCTGGGCCCCTCAGTTCAGGAAGGACATTGAGGTCCTGGAGTAGGTCCAGAGGAGGGCAACTAGGATGGTGAAGGGACTCAAACACAAGTCCTATGAGGAGAGGCTGATGGAGCTGGGGCTGTTCAGCCTGGAGAAGAGGCGGCTCAGGGGAGACCTCCTCACTCTCTACAACTCCCTGACAGGAGGGGGGAGCCAGGTGGGGGTTGGGCTCTTTTCCCAGGCAAAGATCAGCAAGACAAGAGGGCATGGTCTCAAGTTGTGCCAGGGGAGGTTTAGGTTAGATATTAGAAAGAACTTCTTTACAGAGAGGGTCAGCCATTGGAATGGGCTGCCCAGGGAAGTAGTGGATTCTCTGTCCTTGGAGATTTTTAAAAAGAGACTGGATGTGGCACTTAGTGCCATGGTCTGGGAACTGCAGCGATAGTGGATCAAGGGTTGGACTTGATCTCGAAAGTCCCTTCCAACCCAGCTGATTCTATGATTCTATGAATGCCTAAGCTACACAAAAGCTTTTTGCTACTTGGCAGAGTTTCTCTGAGAGGCCTAAAATGTGACTACAGTCTGAAAATGAGTGAAGGTAGGCTTACAACAATAAACTACACATCTCCACTGACCCACGCATCCAACCTATTAGAAGATTACTATCAGTTGTTCTACTCATCTGCTGAAGAAAAGGATGAGAAAATTATCATACAGGAAAGCTGGCTGGCTGTTGTCCTTTTCTGCCTCATCCTTTTGAGTAATGCCTCACAATTCTGTGAATTCCTTGACAAATTCCAATTGTCCGCTGCAGTGCCGTGGTCGGGGGGGTCCCCACTGGGTCCGGCGGGCGCGGGCCGGGGCGACGCTCGCACACGGCCTGACAGGGCGCCGTTAACGGGCCCCGCGGGCTCGTGCGGGCCACGGGACACAAGGGCCTGTAGGAACTGCCGCGGGAGGGAACCCCAGTTCGCAGAGCGAACCCCCGCCCCGGAACCGCCGCGGTGACGCACCTCAGTCCCGAGCTGCGCTCCCGAGGCCCCGCCCATGCGGTGACGTCACTGTCCGCCCCTCCCTCGGCGTCGTGGCATGAATCCGGATGTGAGCGCGCGAGGGAGGGGCGGCCCCGCCCTTTTCCGCCCTCACCTAAGGCAGCCTGCGAAGCGTCACCCCTACAACTGCTCATGCTCGATCCGGCTCGGGCGCGGAGGCTGCCGGGGCCGCCCTGTCCCGGCCCGCGCGTGAGCAGCAGCTGCGGCCTCCAGTGAGCGCGCGGGGCGCGCGGAAGTCCCGCCCGCGGGGGGGATTGTTGTGGTGACGTCACGGGCGGGGGACGCGGGTGCCCCTTTGGCTCGGGCTGGGCCGAGCGCCGGGCGCGGAACGGGCGGGGAGCGACCCCGGGCCGGGCGGGCCATGGCCAGCACCGGCAGCCCCCTGGTGAGTCCGGGCGCGGGGGGCGGCCCACAGGCCGGGCGGGCCATGGCCTGCACCGGCAGTCCCCTGGTGAGTCCGCCCGGGGCCGCGGCCCGCGGGGTGCTTGCGGAATAAGTAGGCCCAGGCGTCGGGGCCGGCCCGTGAGCGGTGGCCGCCCGTGCCCGGCGCTCTGCTGGCGGCGGGGCGCGGGGGAGTTTCGCTGGCTGCCGCGCCGCCTGCGGCCGTTGGAGCAAGGCGCTGCCCTCTGAGGGGCCGCTCTCGGCGTTGCTGCTCCCAGTCCTCCTTCCGCCCCCCGCTCCTGGGTCGCCGCGGGCCTTGCGTGAGGGCCCCGCTCCCCGCCCGAGCTCGGTCCTTCCGCGGGAGGAGGCGAGGCCTTGGCCGAGAGTGACGGGGCCGCCCCGCGGCCTCTCGCGGAGCTCCGTTGCCGGTTCCGGGTACGGGCCGTTGGCGGAGCTTTGCCGGGCCGTCTCCCACGGGGAGAGCCGGGGCTGTTACCCTGGGGGAGGCAGCTGTTACTCTGCAGTCGAGTTCATTTGTAGTGGGAACAAACGCGTGAGGAAGATCGTGAGGGTCACAGTAGGACGCTGTTTCACACGCAGTTGTTTACGTTAGTCTGACACTGTAAAGCTGTGACATTTTGTGTACACTAATATAAGATGGAGTTGTAGCCGGTACACAGGTGTGGTAATGGTAAATCTTAATTCACGCTGTAGGTTGTACAGTTTACTTAGTGTAGACCTTCACTCGTGAAAAGAAAACTAACCCCCAGCTTTCACTGATGTTGGTGTAACTTAACCGGCAGTGCTGTGTTCCTTATCCTTGCTGTGCTTTTAGGTCATGTGTTGTTTCTGTCAGCTCCAAGCTGCCAAGCTCCACTCTGCAGCACTCTTCTGTGTGCAGACTGGCATAGCTGTGGTGATTGTTGACAGCCTGTTTCACTGTGATGTCCTCTTCATGCTCAGTGATTTTTTTCCTTAGGGTGTTGCACATAATCATATTTGTTGACTGAAGAATGGAAATACTGCATGGAATAACCCTACAGAGCTCGTGAGATGCTGCATCAAGGACTGTGAAACAAACCAATGTTTGGTTATTAAAGGCATTAATTTTGCTATTTGATGGAGCTCTATATAGCTGTTTCTTAGCATCAGAAATTATTTCTGTTTACTTGGACTCTTTTAAACAAGGAGTATGCTTCCCTTTGTGCTTCTGCCTTTGCTTATTGCCTGTCTTTTGAGGTTTTTCTCTCCAAAGTACTTGCATTTCTGTTCCTTTTCTAGATACAGTTTAAGTCCCTGCCCATTAGAGAAACATGCAGAGGGGGGAAAATTAAGAACAAAATTGACAACCATTTTTGTAAAAATTAAGAGATTTTTTCAGGATAATTTCTTTAATTCCTCCTCTTCCATTCTGTTTAATATTTCTCTGGTCAGGTGAGTGTACTGACAGGCAGCACCAGATAGAGGTGGCTCGATTCAGCTGTTTTTTTAATGCAGGTGATATCACATATAGGAAATGTGGTATTTCTGAGGCTCTGAGCAAGTTACTGTTAATGTTTGTGTGATCGAGTTAATGATTTGCGTGATGGAGTTCTGTGATTATTTTATTGTAAATGCACAAGATGGAATGGGAGGGAGGGGAATAGAATGCAGCTTTGAAAGGAATATTCCAGCAATTCTCTGCCAAACCAGTTAATTTCTATATTTTTGTATGTGAGGACAATTCCAAAAACATTCTACTGTTTTTTCAAGACGTGGTAAAAAAGGAGGGAATTGTACTTTTAAGAGGGAAAAAATTTTAGTGCTGCTTTAGTTGCAGAGATCAGTGTGGTCTTAGTTTTTGCTGTTAATGCCTTCATTGTAAGTATATTGGGTGTCAAATCAAGAAGTGCCCTTTCTCTCAAAATGAAGAGTCTGGGAGTATGGTAATTTATGTCTTCTTTTGCAGCACATCTTCACTGGAATGTTTAGCTGCTCTAGCAATTCTTAGATTCTACCAGTGTTTCTGACTTGATAAAACCTATAGTGTAGTCATGGATCTGTCCAAACAAAACTGCTAGCTGCCTTTTTTTTTTTTTCCAGTGGAACTAATATGAACTACACTTTTTAAGTAACTGGATTCTCAATAGAGTAAGTTCTGCATCTATGCTAAGAATTAGATTAGGCTATATTAAGAGTTATGTTTGTAGTTATTTGTAGCTGTAAAATTTCCAGATAGACTTGAGAGGTTTTCCCTACATACCTATCTACTTAATATTCTCTTCTCTTGAGTTTTCAGCATAAAGCTATGATTAGTGCTTATCACTTATGTGTAGGCTTTTAATTGGGATAATTTTTCTGTAAATCCCTTACCAGAGCAGGCTGCAGGAATAGAAAATAGTAAAAGATGTGGATGTTGAAGAGGTACTCAAAGGTTGAAAAACTGGAAGTTTTAAGAGGAGCAGTTTTATATACATTCATATTTCCAATGTAAGAAGTGCTTGTAGCCCTTAGAAAGGAGATGATCCACGGAATAATCTGGGTATAATAGCAATGTTCAAGTAAACAATGATTCCACTGTGGAGGTAGCCTGTTTACTTTAAAGCAAATTGTTTTTTGGGTTATTGATCCATTACTTACAGTACCAGAAGTAATGTCTGTTTCTTGTAGCTCTTGAAACTCAATAATTAGATTGCTGTAGCTTGCCCTTGTAAGACACCCAGCAGTCTTGGGCTCATTGCACTTCCCTAAAGCAGATCAGCTGGAAAGCAGCAGTGCAGGAAAAACTTGGAAAGAGATGCTTACTATTGAAATTCTTGCAGGAATTTTTGTACAGAAGGCATGAAACCAGGGGCACAATCACTTTGTTGGACTGAAAAATGTAGTAAACCGGCAAAGTAATAAAAATAAGTTTGATCTATGAAGATGTGAAATATTTTAGTAACCCTTGTTTTTTAACAGTAAACTTGTATTTTATATAGTTATTTTTTTCTCTAGAAAAACTGTAGGGATTGCTGTAGAACTAGCACATCTCTGGCATCAGAAAATATGCAAGTGAACTTACAGTATGTTTGAAAGATAAAATCCTTTTCCAAGTTCCTCGTATTGGAGCTTTCTGAAGAATTTGTGTGAAGCCAAGGAATCACTGTTTCTGGTATTTCAAATAAGAAAATCTTTCTTTGCAAGTGGCCAAGTTAGTTTATGTGTATGTAATAGAGAAGCAAAAAAGGGGAAGGAGCTGATTGTCCTCCCTCCTCGCTTCCCTTTCTGACATCTTACTTGCAGTTAAGCTTGTGGAAAGTTACCACAGTCTAAAGTGTTTGAAAGGACTGAACACAACATGCACACAGTTACCTGTTTGGTCTAGAACCTTATTTTTAACATCTTATGGATTCTACTCAACAGCGCTGGAGGAAATAACTGTTCTGCTGTGTGACTAAACACTGAACGTGAGAGTTGCTTTCTGCTTTAAAAAACAAGCTGTAGATACTTCACCTGGCAAATACTTTATAGTTCTTTATGGTGAAAAATTACAAGGATTAACTTTCATAGCACATTCTTCTGAAAAGAAAGTATTAAATTTGGTGTTTGGTTCTTTAGTAATCCTGCAGAAATTTAATTTACAGTTTTTGACTGTGCCATGGATCCTTTATAGACTCTATCTATATACTGCCACTTCTTTGTGGCTTCTTCTCTGTTCTTCACACCAAACCGTTCTCTTTGCCTCCTCAAGCTGCTGGTGAGGAGCCTGGCACTGGAAGTCCTTCTGTGTGTTAGTGGGCCCCATCCCTGCTGTGCAGCACCTGAACATCCTTGTGCCTCAGGAGTAGCTGCTGGTGTAGCCTGGGATCTGTAGACCACTGCGATCACAGATGGCTTTTGTTTTCTTGTGAGCTAACCTAGATCTGTTTTATGTGAGATGAATTCTCAATGGCTTGTTTACATTATAGCTATTTGGGCCATAGACTGACTTCAGATTTTTTTATTTGGGCCATAGGCGGACTTGGAGATTTTTGTGGTTTCCTGTTTCTGATTTGTTTTGAGGCTCAAGGCAGTGAAAGGAGGCCTTAAATAGTCTCTGTCCCTGAAGGTGCTTGGAACTTGAGTGCTTTGCCTAGCAGTAGAGGAGGTTAGAGTGTAACTGGCTGATATGCAGGTTCTTACAAATCCTTTCATTAGCTTTAATCCCTACCTGAATTTGGAATTAGAAGCCTGGAAATTAGTGGCAGGAAATGCCACTGTATGTAAGGTGGTCAAATTTAGAGAAAGGCATTTACATTAACTAAAATCTTGGATCAGCATTGCTCTGTATGTGAAAAATTAATTTCTATAGAAACAAAATCAGTCTTGTAGATAAAATATCTTTATTCCCTAAATGAAGAGTCAAACCAGTCTCATAATGCAGAGGTGTTCTCTTTGCTTCCAAATCATTGAGCCTATTTGCTATATTTTTGCTGATATAACATGAAGCTGATATCCTCATTACTGACTTATGTATGAACTGTGTTATGGATTTACTGCACAAAGCAAAGAACATCAGTAGACAAACAGTACTTCTGTTTCCCACAAAGGTGCCAACCATTTTAGGTAAAATAGCGTCTTTGAAGAATTATCTGTTCCAAGCTTTTCCCTTCCACTAATTCATATAATGTTTAATCGTGGAATGTATTACCAAGACATGATTTTTAAAGATCTCTTCTTGTCTTTTAAATTATGGTTATTTCTATGAAGATATTTTGTTAAGAGATTTTTTGAGGGGACAGTTTTATGCAGTCCAGCATTTGAGAAACTTCAAATAACAGTGGGCATGAAGGTGAGCCTAGTTGTTTTGGTGGGTCAGCTCCTAGACTTGTTTAATCAGTTAGCATAGCATTCTGTTTAAACAACAGCAAAAAATCCTCCTTTTATATAGCTGAATGCTTTTGAAATTTACATGGTTTATTCATAAAAATGGTCTATTAAGCAACAGTTTTTCATGTCGCAACTTCTGAGATCGAAAAACGTCACACCAGATAGATGTATGACTTCAGATTCTTTTGCAAAACAAATTTGTGTTAAAATAGTTTTTATAATTGAAATATGAGATTCTAATCTGTTCATTTAAATGTAGTAATTGGTAACCATTTATGAACCTTGATCAAAGTGTAGATTTTGACAAATTGTTTGGCTTTGGACTGTTTTGCTGACTAATGATCAGTTTCTTCAAGATGTGTGGAACTGATGGGCAGTTTGTTGGCTTATGAGCTAAATTCTAAGTTCTCTGCAGTCATCTTTGCATACCATTTGATGATGGGGTTTGAAGGAGTGCTGATGCAGCTCTATGCAACATAAATGCAAACCACTGTGCTAGAGGAGACTAATGTTTGATGTTAATGCTTTTTAAATGTCTACAATTAATACTCGGAGTAGAGCTTGTTTGCTGCAATTTGAAGAAAATGGCTTATTCTGATCTTCAAGGAACTTTTCTGTAGAAAAGAGCATCCTGTTGTCTCAGGAAAATATCTTTGTAACATAGTATAGTTTTTAATAAATGCCTTTTTTTTTTTTTTTGGAGAGGAGTGTTTGCTCTTAGAAATCCTGCTGAACTTCGGTCAAGCTGAAACTGAGCAAAATACATGTTTGTAAATACCTCCAAATTACTATGATATTTTAATTTAATTTAATGTGGCTGTATGTACTAGAGTGTCAAAGCTAACTTGTTAGGTTAACTTGTTAGGTTAACCACAATTTACTAGCTGTGTGGTGCATTCAGAAGTACTGCTGAGGCTTGGTTTAATCTATGTTTTGTTCCATCCATTACATGCTTGATTTTAGGTTATAATGACAAGACAGTGACAGCATCTAATGAATGTTTTTTCTCTTTAGGCAAGTATCTTCATTCCTTAGAGGTAATAATAATGTTGGCAGATAGTTGTATTGTTAAATTCTTTAAACTATCTGACAGACTTCTAAGCATATATAAATGGAAACTGGCATGCAATGGAGTTTGATAAATTATTCAGTATATTGTTTCTCTGCACACAAACGTACAATTGGTTAACAGAAAGAGGATGCTGTTGGTCACCTAGGGAAAGTGTGACAATCCGTTTTTAGGCAGAAGTCCAGAGCAGAAATGGACATGAGCATGTCAGGTCTGAGAACTGATGCTTGCTGCAGTTTATGGGAGCACACTAGCTAATGTTGCTCTGGCTTGCGTTCATTCAGGGCACTCTCTCTGGCGTACTCCCATTTTATGAAAGGAAAACTGGTGTTAAATATTGATAGGGATCACACAATAGTCATTACAGTTTCTGCAAACCACTCCTGTGTGGGATTGGTATATATTGGGAAGTGCAACCTGTACTGTGCTCTTTGCACTGAAAGGTGAGGCTTTTAGTTGGATTTTCTTATTCTGAATCAGTGTTTCTTTGTATCTTAAGTTTCTTGTAGCTGAACTACACTGCTTTTGCCTGCATTCTCATTTTAAGTACTAAGAGGCATAGTCTGAGGACATATATTCAGGCCTTGGTATCTGACCTGCTGAGTTGCTTTTCAATTTTCGAATATGCTGGAACTCCCAGGGTGTGTTGCACTTTAGCCTTTGAAGTGGAGACTGTCACAAATAGGTATTGGGGAACACAGAGAAGGTAAACATTTTAATTGTGGGATATGAGGGGGGAGGAGGCCAGTGGGAAAGCTGTGCGTAATATCTGTTAATTGCCCCTTCTGATGCTCTTTTTCAGATACAAGATGTATGTCAGATGCAGTTGCTGCATCTTTGTCAACTGTCTGAAACACTAGTGTGCCATGAAAAGAATATATTAAGTATAACTGCCAGCTATTAATTTTTTCCCTTTAAAGCCCCAGGTTGTCAATGTTTAAATTACAAGCAATACAAAATAAATTTCAATTTCAGAACTTTTAGTTTATATGACAATGTCAAAATAATTTACAAAACCTCTCAGGCCAACCCTATCTAACTTAAACTGTCTTTAGCAGAATCTCAGTATTGATAAACAGTGGCAAGTCAGCTTTATTTCTAAAACAACAAAACACCTGTCCACTGAAAGCAGTTTTGCCTTCTCTTAATGTGAAATAAAAGCTTTTATTCCTTCTTAATTGTGCAGGTTAATACAAGGAATTCACATTTTTACTTCAAGATCTATTAGTTTGTACAGTAAGTCTTAGAGTTGTAGATTTTGGAAGATGTCCCTGTACCAAAGAGCTGTGTTTGGCAGAGATGTAAGACTGTTCTGTCACAGAGATGTGATGGAATACTACGACAGCCAGGGAGGCTCTCTTGTACTATATCATGTCATATCTGTTTTGAAAGCCTCTCAGTTTTCATTTGTAAGTGAAAAGATAAATTTATAGATATCTCAGAGTGTTGGTATGTTGCTTTCTGAATCCTGCAATTTCTTAAGCAGACTTTGGTGATATAGGGCATCCATGTTTGTATTGATTTATATTCATGATAGTCTGTGAATTTCTTATAATGTTTTAGTCTAGCACTTATGACATACACCAGTCCGTAGTTCTTATATCCACTAAGGGTTCTGTTGAATTGCAGGTGATCCTAATTTTCAGAGTTCTGTATTACCACATGGCTGAAACAGTCAGATTCTTTAATAAACACACAGGTTTCAGGAGCTTAATCTAGTCAGACGATTAGATTTTTTTTGTTTCCCAGGAGTTCAGTGTCTTGATTTTTCTCCTGAAACTGGTTTGTTTTGGTTTTTTTCCTTAATGTTTGCACCCTACTAGTGGCATTAAGACCTTGCTTCTCCTAGTTCGTGCTTTCTAATTCTGCGTATTCAAGTATGGACTAGCTTAAGTTCATTCTCCACTTGTGTCCCATTGTTATACCTAAGTACTTGGACCATATTTTAATTGCAGTCATGTTTTGGTAGAAAGAAAAGTAAGGTCTAACTCTTTATCTATGTGTTTAGGTACTGTTTAAGTTTTTGTTGTCAGCAGAAGTTTAGCAGAACTCTCCTATTGTTTACATTTTATGACCAGTTTCACGTAAAACATCTGAAGCAGGTCCTGAGAGACTAATGGTGTTTTACCAAAAGAGATGAAAAGGAGCTTGACAAGATTCCTTGGTCTTACTTGGGGAAAATTGATGAAAGGGTACCAAATGATGATTTGCTTTGTATGTTGCCTGAATCAGTTTTAGGAGTGTGTTTCTTGTACTTGCTGTTTTCTGGGCAATGTCTGGTTCTTTGTTTTGCAGTTGGGTTGTCTTTATGTGACCACATGTACAATTTGAATAATATAATCTCCCTTGTTTTAAAAGGTCATGAACCAGAGCATTCTTAAAAAAAAGTATTAGATATTGCTGATTATTAAACCCTCCAGCTGATCTGCCTTTTGTATGTTATCTCTTTTCTTCTTGTCCTTCCCCAATTGTACTGAAGACAGTGAAATTCCAAGTAAAAAAATAAGAATGTGTCCTTTGTCTCCAATAAAGTTTTCATGTGTTCATTTACAGTTCATTGTAACTTGGATTTCTGAACTAATGTTACTAGTAAAACAGATATTCATTGTATAACTAGAAGTTTAAAGATCATGTTATTTGTAGGAGAATATATTGTGAAATTTGGTAACTTGGTGTTAGGGAGCATTTTTTTGAGTTTGAAAAAAACATTAATTAAATATTCAGATGTTTGACTTATGGCTGTATGACAGCCTGACCTAAACAGAGTTGTTTAACAAATTGGAGCTGCCAAAATAAATACTGACATTCCCTCCTAAAGAAATTTCTAATGATAACTCTTACAAAGAAGACTTTATGTGATTCTTGTATGGAAATAAAGTGCTGTTGCACCAGGTATGGGAATAACAGTTTCATTTCTCTTTTCAGTATGATGCTGTTCCAATCCAGTCAAGTGTGGTGTTATGCTCCTGCTCATCCCCGTCAATGGTGAGGAACGAAGCAGATTCCAGCACTCCATCTGTCATTTCTCCCTGTGGCAGCAGACAGGGATCTAACATGGAAAGCACGGCACCTGAATCAAGATCTAATTCCAGCTCCTTGCAGCAACATACAGGACAGCAGCCTCCACAGCCTCGAAAGAAACGACCCGATGACTTCAAATTTGGGAAAATTCTGGGTGAAGGATCTTTCTCAACGGTAACTTTACTTTTTATAAGAGGTGCCAAACATCTTAGATAAACTTCAAAATTTGTTGTGTGTGTAAGATTGATGAGATTTAAATCTGGAAAGAACAGCTTGAAGAATAAATGAATGGGACATAGCGGTTTTAAGCTGAACTATTAAAATAGTGTTGCACTAAATGTGGGTGCTGATTTTTTCCAAGCACCTTCTAAATTCATAAAAAGTTCCATTGTATCCTAATGTCTTCATGCTTGGATTTTCAGTCAACATTGCTTTCTAATATTATTGCGATAGCATAATAGCTTATGTTAAAAGTTTATGGTATAAAGGATTGGAACTGGCCTAGGAGTTTGTCTTTGTAAGAACTATGCAATTAGTATAAAGTTGAGATTCTAGCAAGGTGTTGAAATGGATATAAACTTACAATGGGAAAGCCTGAAAACTTTAGTCATTTGTTGTTACAAGATTATTGCTCGCATTCAGGCAAGGGGGACTTTTCCAATTGTCTTTAAAGTTGCCTTTTATAAAGTTCTTTCTTGAGCTTTAATTTGTGTTCCCCCAAAATCTTCTCTTTAAAAATGTAAACCTGCTTGCCTGAAATTTCGTCTCTTGCTTCTACTAATTGGAAATCTGCCATTGCCTTTATTTAAATCTTCTTAACAAACTGTGAGTAGTTAAAAGTTCTGTGTGACTTTTTACTTTTGGTCTCTCAGATAAATTTTATCTTTCAATCTTTGCCATTTATGTTAAGGAAAGTACTGTGACAATTAGATTTTTATAAATGTTCCTCAGCCTGTGGCTTTTCGTCCCCTCTTTAAGAAGATTTGGCGATTTACTGTGACTTACGTTACAACCTTCAGAATTCTTCTGGAAAAAAAGTAAATCATTGTTTTCCCTCTCAAGTGTGTAAGTCTTTTAGCAAAACAAGCATTGTTGTGCTGAACTGAATTTCCACAGAAGTCTTGTTGAAGCCAGCATAATATGAACACATGCTTAAATATTTTGTTGTGTTCTGAATACCGACTGGAAGATCAAAATTGGTGTTAGTGTACATCTTTAATGACCAGTTACAGTATGTTTTTTCTCCTCTGGCAACAGGTTGTCTTGGCTCGAGAATTGGCAAGTTCTAGAGAGTATGCCAGTAAGTATTGGCTCCTTTAACATGAACTATTAGAAAATATAATATCAGTGTAGTCCTGGTACAAAACACCTGTTGAAAAAACCAGAATTAGTGGTTTTATGATAATTTTATCAGACCAAAAAGCCCCAAAACAAATTACTTAGATGGACTTCATTTGATTGTACCTATTCTATTTTCACTCTATTTTTTTTTCATTAAGTTAAAATTCTAGAAAAACGTCATATCATAAAAGAGAACAAGGTGCCATATGTGACACGAGAGAGAGATGTAATGTCCCGTCTGGATCACCCTTTTTTTGTGAAACTCTACTTCACCTTTCAGGATGATGAAAAGCTATGTATCCTTTGTGTTTTAAAACTTGCTGTAACACTTTCTTAACAGGAACCCAGTTTAGGTTCCTTTGAAACATGGTCTAACAGGAATGATGAAAATAACTTCAGGTACTTTAAATAGCCTAATGTACGTGCTGCAATTTTTGCAGTCATGCTTTTAATAGAAATTAAGCAGATGGAATGAGCAGGTCCCCTCAAAGAAAAGAGTGGGTGTCTTGTGGGATGGGGGAGAGCAACAAAGCAAATTGTCTGTGTGGTAAATGTTGAAGAGTGACTTGCAATGATCCAAGTTTAAAGTAATTTAAAAATACTAAATTGGGGTGGTGTATGAGAAGTGTTTAAGAAGTATTTTATTTGTGATATGTATAGTAAAACACCACGATTCCTATGTTTAATAGGGGTAGCCAGCTATATTTACTACTATTTTTTTTTTGACAATTAGAGCTATTATTAAAATTTTTCTTGCGTAAAAGTGCTTACAGAATAATCTGAATCTTCCGTTTGGGCTTCTGTTTCCCGTGCTCTCTCTCTAGCAGTAATTGCAAAGTACAGTTTCATCCTGGAAGCTCACTGGTTGACAGTTGGCTTTATTTTTTTCCTTGTGAAGAAAATGTTAATGATGCGAATTTCCTCCTAAACTTTCTGCTTCCAATTGGCTGTGCCAAGGCTAAAGGGATAGATCAGTCTGTTTGTGGGGTCAGTAAGTAGTTGTGGTTTTCCCAGAGGCTGCTGGCAGTGCTTGCAGGCCCTAGAGTTCATGCAGCATACACTGAAAGAGCTCACAGAGCCTCTTTGTAGTGGAAACACTTGCTCTGGTACTTCTCAGGTGATGGGACAATTTTAAACTTATATCAGTTTTTACTGTAAATAATTCTTTTTGAGGGCAATTATGTATACAATTTAAATTAATTAGTTGGGTCACAAGTCTGAAAAAACAACAAAGTTACCTCTTTACGTAGTCTTTGCTGTGCTAAGAAATTGGGACCTGTGTCCTAGGTTGTTAACATATTTAAGTAATTATTTTGGGCTGCTGCCGTGTAAAGTTTCAAATTAACCAACTTCTTCCCTCCTGTTTATGTATTTTTAGTATTATTCTTATCTTTGGAATGAGATGTGGGGATTTTTGTTTTAGAATGGCTTAGAGATAGACCTTAACTACTTACATGCAGATTTTGGGCTTAGCTATGCCAAAAACGGAGAGCTGCTAAAGTATATACGCAAAATTGGTTCATTTGATGAGACCTGTACCAGGTTTTATACTGCTGAAATTGTATCAGCCCTGGAGTATTTGCATGGGAAAGGAATAATTCACAGGTAATACAAAGTTGAGACCAACATGCAGTTGATTATGTTTTTTTCTAGAAACATTCTTTGTGAATTTTGTGGAAATGAGCACATAGTAGCATTTGATCAGCACTGGTACTGTTAACATCAGTAGCTAAACATAGAAAACTTGAGGAGGAGAGCCAATCTCTGTTGTTATACAAACTGTTGTAGCAGGAAGAAGTAAGAAAACCTTTTGGCCTAGAATTAACATTACCAAAAGCTTGTCTTTCAAGCTTGATCAGTTGGTCTGAAAACAGAAACAGACTTTTTGTTTAACTACACTTTTTTCCCTGTACTGTTATGTAGCAAAGGTAATTAGAATTTTTCTGGTGTGTGATTTAGTGTGTGCTATATAATCAAGAAAAGTAAAATTAATCTATATCAGTTTTCACTGAGTGAACAATTTCCACAAAGCTGAACAATAATTAGGTAAATGGTGAAATCTGGCAAAGTTTCTAATAGTACTTTCACAGTTGTTCTGAATGTAATTGTATTCTTTGGATAATCATGTTTTTTCATTCACGTTTATTAAATAAATTAAGGTTTTAAGTGCTAAACATCTGAGCTGCAGAACTTCTTTTTGGGTAAGGAATCTATTGTGTCTGTAGGTTACGGAGCAGTTGTCGTGAAACAGTAAATGCTAGTTGGCAGAAAGCTGGCTGATTGTAATTCTGATAGCATTACTTCTTTCAGTTACATTTAAAAGGAAAAAGTGTTCTTCTAATACTTTTTTGTGTAATAATTTGGAATAGAATCTAAGGGGGATGGATGTGGAGAGTATGAAAGCATAAACTTTTCCACGAGGGTGAAAAAACATTCAAGAACTCCCAGTTTCATTCACTTTTACAGTCCATATGTTAGGCTGAGAGAAGGTTTATAAAATGAATGTAGCATGATTGTCAGTGTTACTAAGCCTATTTTGGAAATCTTGAGTTACAGAAGAGCTGCTTTATGCTTGTCTTCATATGAAGGCCCTTATGAGAAGCTCAAAAGAAAACAGTGAGATTGTGCAATTAGAGAACTTAGTATGAAGTTTATAAGGCCACAGCTCTAGCAGTGCCTGAAAGCTCTTGGGATTTTCTGCTGCCTAAAGAAATAGGACATGAGATAGAACCAGTTTCAGATGTCAGGCTACTCTGGAAAAGTTATTACAGATATATCTCTATGTATCTAGTTATATAGCTATAGATCCGTAATACAGTATTAACGTAGGTGTATAATATAAACACTGTGTATATGTGTGTATAGAGTACAATATGTCTACATACAAATGTATATGTAAAAAAGCCCCACACAGAACTGGTAAAAGGGTCCATTCCATTCATATACTTTCTATATCTCTCTGAGATTAGTTACAGGAAAATGAAGAGGATTTTTATGGCTTGTATGTCATAATTACTTCATTCCAATTGCTCTCTGTGCTAATCCGCAGCCTCTAAATTGTACAACCCATGCTTTTTCATTATAGGGGGCTGCAATCTGACGGAAATAATGCTGCACAGTGGTTGATGGAAACAGCTTTAAAACAGCTTTGAATCTGTACTGGTTTTTTTTCTTACCAGTCAACCAAAACAGCTCCCATGCTCCAAATTTCTTTATGAGCATTCAAAGATACTGCTTAAGAGGGGGAAGTATGTCATCTTTTCAGCTGAGGAAACTTTGTGCAAAGTAATACCGTATCAGTGTCAGCCTTATTTTATGCTCCTTATTTTGTTGCTGACAAGCCTCTTGACATCTAACTCTATATTACTTTCTATTGTGTTCGTCATACTGTGAGGTCTGGTTTTATTCAGAAAATGGACACTGGTGGCAGTGTCCATGCAAATGGTAGGCACACATTTGAAAGAGAGGTTATACATGGAGGTGGTTTACAGTTCTTACGTAGTCTGGACATTTAGCTGGGGCTGGGTTTGCCAGCTGGAGTTTTGCACAGAGGAAACAGGCCTAGAAGATCTTAATGCCGTATCAGTCTGTCAGGTGTTATTTAAATTAAGGCTTTGGAGTGAAAGGGCTTGGGTTTTTGTGTGTGTTTTTGTGGGGTGAGATTTTTGTTGGGATTTGTTGGGAGGTGCTTTTTTTTGTTTGTTTCGGGGAGTTTTTTGTTTGTTTTTTTTTTTGTTTGTTTGTTTGGGTTTTTTGTTTGTTTTTTTCATTTCTGTTGAGATGCACAGTAGTGTAGTTTTGAGATAATTAATTACTTAAGGTCTTTTTAGAAAAAATGTTAATTAAGGGGCTTATCCAAATCTGATAGTCTGCAGGTTGACAGCTACAAGTTGAAGAAAGTTGTTGCAACAATGTTTATAGAATGTCTACATCATTTATGATAACATTGTGTACCTAAATCACTAGACAGTTTTGCCACTTTCATTTGTATGGTGTTTGAATATAAAAATCTGTCTTTTCTAGGGACCTTAAGCCAGAGAACATCTTATTAAATGAAGATATGCACATTCAAATAACAGACTTTGGAACAGCAAAAGTATTATCTGCAGATAGCAGACAAGGTATGCCATGATTTATTTCATTATGTAACACAGATAATTATAGCAAGTGGTCCTTTGAAAATGTACATATGTTGTATTTACCAAATTGTAACTTTCAAATATCATCAACCTCATCTAAATCGCTGAGAGATCTTGAAACAGTTTTGAGTGTCACTGCTTGGATTATGTCAGAAAAGGTAATATTTGGTGTAGTGTTATAGCCAGCTGGATCACCAAATATAGTGGGAAGTCAAAGTACTTCAAATTACTTAGTTTTCATTTGCAAGACAAGAAGACAAACAGAGGTATTGTGGCTCAGCTGATACAGTAAGTTTTTACTCTGCTGATGTCTTTAACTCCACATTTGTGCAACTCTGATAGACACTGAAGGCTATAGAATTCTTGTGTTGCTAGTTTTTAGTAATAACCTGTAAATAGATGCTGCAAACAATGCCTGAAAAAAGCACTGAGCTGAACTGAATTTGATAACCTTTTTTTCTTGAATGTAGTAAGCTTGTGTTGGTAGATTTTATTACTGACAGAGCACCTAAATACCCAACTTCTTGAACCACATGAGTGTCACTGAGACTGATTTGTTTCTTCTGAGCAGGTTGTGTGGATTGATAGAGAAATTAAATTCCCATGGGTTCTTGGTAGCATTATGTAACTTGCAAGGGATTGCCTTTGCAGGTTTCTTTAATTGGGTTGGTACAGGGGAGGAAAGGAAAGATTGGTTTATCCATAAGTATGTGTTTGGCTTATTTCTTTCTGTTTCCTTACCAGCACGGGCAAATTCATTTGTTGGGACAGCACAGTATGTTTCTCCAGAACTGCTGACAGAGAAATCTGCCTGTAAAAGGTGAGGACTCTGCATTTCAGAACTTCACTGACTCTGTCAGGATGCTGTTAAATGGGGAGGAGTGGATAAATCAAGCAAGGAAGCTTAGTATTGTAAAGAAAAAAGATGCTGGTGTATAAAAGTTTTTTAAGAAAGTTTGAAAATTTTTTTTTCTTAACAAGTATTGCTTTTTGTCTTAGTGCTGGTTTCCTCAATTCATCTACCTTCTGGAGTTCTACAAACAGGATTAGGTGTTGTTGAAGGTGTATAATGTGAAGTTGGATTTCTTACCCATAAATATATCAATTTTTTTATGTTATCCAAATAATGTAATTATTTTAATTCTGTTTTATAAAACCTTCCTCAAATAATGGTATTTCCTGCTGTAGTAACAACCACTGTCGCATGCTGTCAGTTAGGGGAAAGGCTGCAGCCTTCTTTGACTTGTATTTAGATCAACTCGCAGTTATTTTTGCTAAACTGTACTTGAGGTTTGCAATGTTTTAAAGCTCACCTCTGTGCCTGGTATGAGTGAAATCTCTTAACTCATTAAAATTGCTTGTTGATGGTAACCTGCTGAATGTGTAGATCTATTTTATGACGGTGATGGAAGAGTAAGTTAATTGCTGAAAAACCATAGGGGGGAAAAAAGAACTCTTACAGGAATAACTGTAGTAATTTAGTGCTAGGTTTTAACTTTTTTGGCTGATGGAAAGACTTCATCAGGCTATCATCTCCATTTAGAAGTTGCATAATGCCTCATCTGTAATTTGAGTAGTTTTGAGTCTCTGTTAGTATTTTAGTCTTCCATGAGGATTTTGAAACTTTAATCAAATCTATGTATAGCTTACCTTGAAGTACAGTAAGTTTAAAGTGCTCTTTCAGGCCAACACACTAAAACTTAACTTTCCCTCACCCACATACCGTACAGTCTGCCTTTTTGTTTGTGTCTTAAGAAGAGCTTCAAGTGAAAAAGCTGTATTGTTTTGTTTGGTGGGGTTTTTTTATAAAATACTTAGAGGAGAGGATTTAAATTCTATTGCATTAATTTGGACGCATCTTTGAATTGTCATAGTGGATAAACCAGTATTCTTTTCAGACTTATATACGTATTATTTTGCCTGAGAATTCAGTCTTGCATGTGTCCTTGTAGTTAGTTGTTGTGAGATTGTTACTGTATAGTTTTTTTTCTTTAACAAAGTTGTGTTGCTAGCCTTCTCTTTTGTCAGGGGCTGAAGTGAGAATAGTATGGAAATTATACAGAGCAAATTTATCCATGGGGTTTGTGCTATATTTTAAGTAGCAGAAAGTTAAGAATTTTTCTTTTTAAATTACAGTTTAAAGACTTCTGTTATGAAAAGATGCTATATGTTTCTTCCTCTTTCTTTTGAAGCTCTGACCTCTGGGCTCTGGGATGTATAATATATCAACTTGTAGCTGGATTGCCTCCATTTAGAGCCGGGTAAGAGATTTAAGCTAATTCTTTATATGTGGATCATAAATATATTGACTTGATTTTGATTTTTACCTTACTACCAGTTCTGAAGTACAACTTTTCACGATGCAGTGTTGGTGTTAATGTCATACCTGCTATTATTTGTTCTTCTTCATGTCTTGAAGTTGCTTAGACAGCTGTAACTAGAGTTCCTGAGAGACATTCCTTAAGTTATCCTAGAATTTCACATGTAATTTGTACCATAGAGATAACTTTATTTGTGAAGAGGGTATAAGGCATCTCTCTGCATCATTTGAACTTCTCTTGTTATCGCTCAAGTATCTGGTGCTTATAGGATCATAGATACTTGTACTCCTCCTAGGAAGATTTATGGGAATATGACTTAACTTGTAGATTTCCTGTTTAATATTTGTCCGAGTTATGCAGGCTAAGGTGAAAGAACCATGGAAAACTAATAACAAGAGTCAATATTTTTCTCTTTTGCAGAAATGAATATCTTATATTCCAGAAGATAATAAAGTTGGAATATGACTTTCCAGAAAAATTTTTTCCCAAGGCGAAAGACCTTGTTGAAAAGTTATTGGTAAATATTTGCTGCTGTTAAATCACTTGATGACACTGGAAACATTTGGCTTATGTTCAGAAACTTTTCTGGAAGTTTCTATGCACTCTGTTGCAAACATTATAGTAAGAAGGGCTGTGAGCATTATTGACTGTAGGGGAGTGTCTTGAGAAATCAACATCCATTATTAAACAGCATTAAACTTAAAATGTGGAAAGGAATGTCTCTGAATGGAAGCAAGTGATTCTAGACACTGTGCATTACACATAGACATTAAGATTCAAATACTCAAGTTTATATAGTTCTCAGATTAATTCTTTTTGAGCTGTATAATGGATCATTTAGTTGAAAACAGTCTTCTATACATCACAGGCAGATACATTCATTACAATGTAAGTAAGTCCACTTACCTTGGCATTAGGATGCACTTTAACACATCTCAGTAGTATCAGTCTAAGAATTACTGTTCATGTGGAGGTTTGACAAGTAGGAAGAGAAAGTAGTTCTATCCCATGAGTGAGATTACAGCCATGACACTAAAGTGAATATTCAGAGAACATTTTGGGTGGTATAAGCTTTTTCAAATTCAATAGTCTAGCATATTAGCAGGGGGTGAGGAGGAAATGCTTATCTTTGTGGATGATGATGGGTGCAAGGTAAAGGGCCTAGCAGTGCATTCCTGCGTCCAAGGCCAGCTCTATGGCCAAGCCAGTGCCTGCTGAATGGTGAAGTCCAGGTTATATTAACATCCTGAGAACCGTGTCATTTTAGGATGCTTGAGAGGTTGATATTTGACACCAACTACAGCTTCCACAGCTTCTTGCATGACTAGAATGTGATAGTGGACTACACTTAAACGAGATGTTCCATCAGGCCTTCTCTGTATGTTTGCTTCTGTGTTTAGGAAGAACAAAAAAAAAAATTGTGTGGACCGAAAGAAGTGCTCCTTCCTTTAGATCTGTGAGCTGGTCTACTACAAAATGTTGCTGACATGACATACCGACAAATAACATCTTTTATTATAAGCAGTCTCCTTGTATTATACATATGTATGCTTAGGACAGTGAGACCAGTTGGTTTTAAGTTTTCACGTGCTGCTGTGTAAATGTGAATGCTGCTTGCCCCTTGTCATTATTTTATGGAGGATAACTTAATTTTGATTTGCTCAGGTTCTAGATGCTACCAACAGATTAGGTTGTGAAGAAATGGGAGGATATGGACCTCTTAAGGCTCATCCCTTCTTCGAATCCATTGTGTGGGAGAACCTACATCTTCAGACACCTCCTAAACTTACAGCGTATTTACCTGCTATGTCAGAGGATGATGAAGACTGTTATGGAAATGTATGTTTATCTGTACATATATTCAGCTCTGATGCTGCCTGAGACTTTCATTAAGGCATAATTATTGAATATTAAATATTTTTACTGAAATTACTGTTTAGTTATGTTTTAATGAGAACTTCAAGTATTAATCTAAGATAAAATTGTTGTCAACATTTTTTTTCTTACAGAGCGAGTGTTTTGAAAAATACTGGTTGGCTTGCTTTTGATCAATCATACTTTTTTGCATATGTGCCTGTTAATCTATAGAGAATGGGTTTTTTGCCCAAAAGCAAAATAAACAAAAACATGCTTAAATTAAAAACCAAAGTTTAATGCAAAACATTTAATTACTTCATTTTGTTTCCTCCTTTAGTATGACAATCTCCTGAGTCAGTTTGGTTGCATGCAAGTTTCTAGTTCTGCCTCTTCCCATTCACTGTCTGTCCCAGAGACAAGTACACCACAGACATCAGGAGGAAATATTGAACAGTATATTCATGATCTTGACAACAATTCCTTTGAGCTGGACTTACAGTTTTCTGAAGATGAGAAGAGGTTACTTCTGGCAAAACAAGCTGGTGGAAATCCTTGGTAGGATCTTTGAATATCGCTCATCTTTACTTGCACAGCAATAAAGAACCTTGAAAAATAAGGGATTTTGATTTAAATTAATATTTGTCAATCTTAGTATGTTCAAGCAATTAGCAACTACATTTTTTTTGACTTCTGTTTTTAAAGCAATAGCAGCAAAACCCTAATACTATATTTCTAAAATGTACCAAATCTAGAAGATGGCATGGAGTGTGTTTCTTAGATAGGCAGAATGACATTAGCCAGTGCTGAGGAGTCTTTGTTCTGAAGTCCTAGAACTAGAAAAGGTTCCTCCTTTCTTACTGACACTATAAGTTGTTGGGTTTTTGTGTGTGTAATATTCTGTTGATATGGGGCCTCTGGTGGTCTAGTGGTTAGGGTGCAGGACTCTCACCGCTGCGACCCGGGTTCGATTCCCAGCCCCCCGGGCAGATGGAGCTCATTAGCCCTGTGAGGCAATCCATCTAAGAGAAGGTCACTCTAAACAAACCTACGTTCTGGGGCCCTCACTGCCACTGTCCAAGCTTGCTCGGCCCCGGCAGATGAACCTCAGGATTAAAGGGTGGGCTCAGTTCAGCGCACGCTGGGTCTCACCTAAAAAATCCACTGCGCAGGCTCGAAGGGTTAATGACCTTTCCCAAATCTTCGCTCGCGAAGACTGGCCATTATTCTGTTGATATCCAACCAAAATATCTCCAGACTATGTAACTGATAGCATTTCTTTGCATGCTTTAGAGAAGTTTCTCATGTGTGATTGTGATTTTTTTTTAATTTTTTTTTCTACCCCTGTCAGGAATTAGAAAAAACTCCTTGGCCTGGAATGAGGAAGAGTACAAAACTCATCTAGTAAAGTTGCTCAGGACTCTTTGGTGGAAAAGGAGACGCTAGGGAGTGAAATGGAAAACTGCTTGATATTAATAATAGCTGTTTCTATGAAAGAATTACTTCTGGAGTAATAGTTATTTTTCTTTTTTTAAGGCATCAGTTTGTAGAAAATAACTTAATCCTGAAAATGGGTCCAGTGGACAAAAGAAAGGTAAGGGTTTTTTTTAAATTTCCTGTAACAAGATTCAGCTGTCACATTTTTGCACAGTTGCAGCATAGATAAGGAACCTGTTTTAAAGCTTACTTGTTGAACTTATAAATAAGTGGCAAACTGTTTATTTTTAAAAATTCTGTGTTTTCTTGTGAGTAGATTGTTCTTTATTTTGTGATGTGCTTTTGATTTCTTGGAAAAGCTAAAAGTAGAGCTGCTACTGATACTTTCATTTTGAGATTGTAGTAAATGAGTTTTTGCTCCCTCTTCTCTTCCCAATCTGATGTAGCCCACTAAACACTTTCTCTTGATGTGTGTCTGAATGTGGTTTGAGCCACAAATACTGAAAAATGAAATACAAGCTCATGTTGTTCTTAACTGTGGTGTTTTTCCTGGATCTGACTTAGTGCCTTTATTCTGAGAGGGGCAGAGGTGGCATTAGAACAGCTTTAAGTATTAACTTTAATATTGTACAGCTGAGCAAGGATAGTCTGCATCAACTTTCCAGGAAAGAAGGTTATCTTTCATCTAAGTTAGTACCTGCTTGTTCCTATCTTTTCTACAAAATCACAACTGTTGATTTCTGTGCTGGAATCTTTGACAAATAGATTTTGCTAGCTGTACTATGTACAGCTAGGTGTTTTATGTTTTGCTAGAATTTGAAGATGTTTTCCTGAAATAGTACTTGTGCTTTGCCACATAGTAGGAATGCACTGCAAGCCCCTAAAAAAGGAGTGAGGTCAAATAGGTAGAGTAAATGGAAAATTGAAGTCCCCCAAATCCAAACATACTCTCCTATCACTGAGCTGGTTTTATTCTACCTCTGTTGTTCAATTCATAGATCTGCACATTTACATTTTTATTTTGTGCCTTTTTTTGCATTGCTGCTTCTACTTTTCTCACTAGGGATTGTTTGCACGTCGGCGCCAATTGCTGCTCACAGAAGGACCCCACTTGTATTATGTGGATCCTGTCAACAAAGTTCTAAAAGGAGAAATTCCATGGTCATTAGAGTTGCGGCCAGAAGCCAAGAATTTTAAGACATTTTTTGTTCATACGGTAAGTTTCTTTCTTGGATTTCCTTGTAAAATGTACTAAGGTCCTTGGACTGCTAATTTAAGTTGTTATCAAATAGATTTCTCTGGAGAAAATATAATTACTTAAATACAAGGGTTGATAGTCTTAATTTAAAACAAAACAAAAACCTGAACAAAACCAACCAACCAAAAAAAAAGCACAAAACCAATTCCCCCATACAAAATCAAATAATAATAAAAGAAACCCCCCACAAAACCTCACCCTGACATACACATTTATCACAAAAATACAACTGTATTTTTATTGTTGTTTAAATAAACTATATGTGGATTTGGGGATTTGAAGGAAGCTCTTAAGAAGGACTTTGAAAATTTAGCCCTCTTTGTATGTAGTAAATTATGAGGAGTATACCAATAATATATTGACTGCTTAACAATGTGCCAGATGTATGGTTATTCAGTAATATATAATATTATATAGCTGCAATTCAGTTTAACTTTTAGAAACTTTATGAACTAATTCTGAATAATTATTTTATTGGTAGGTGCAGAATAATTATGTCTTTTTGCTTAAACTGTGTTTGGAGTAATCATTAAAATGTTGTTCACTTATAGCCAAACAGGACATATTACCTGATGGACCCAAGTGGGAATGCTCATAAATGGTGCAAAAAGATACATGAAGTTTGGCGGAACAGATACCACCAGAATGCTGCAAAATAGTAAAGCTCATCCAAAATTTCCCAGTTTCCCTACTTGCTGCTAGAACTCCGTGTGCAGCCGATCAGAGGAATCTTTTCAACCCACCTATTACCATCTCAAGGGGAAGCATATGTTCGAAATGTTCTTTTTTTTTTTTTTTTTAAGAAAGAAAAAAAAGGAAGAAAAGCAAAAACCTAATGGAATTCAGGGTTGCTTTGCTCGCTCTTTGTGCTTATTTTGAGGCTTCCACATGCATATCATTGCAGTGAAGATCTTGCTTTTGTGCACTTCAGCTCAGTTTCTGCTGCAGACTAGTGGATAGACCTTGCATTACCAGCTTCACTTAAGATAAGTTAAAACCAATCCACACGCACACATGCCGAATCATGTACCAGCCTTGCATTTCATGGGGCTGGAGTTTTCTGTGACTCTCAGATTATCATTAAACTGTATTTCATCAGGGAGCTTTTATATGCCTCTCCTAAGCACCACCTCTTTGTTTTCTCTTCCTTTCCTCACAGTCCCCCAGCTTATTGGTATATGGCATTTGTAGCCAGGTCAGTTGCACCCTTGTGTAATTCCTAATATAGTTCTGGTTGCAGGATTTACGTGGTACTTTAGTAATTATGTGAATGAATCAGATGTATGTGTCTGGCAGACAGGCTCCAATGATAAAGGTTTTGAGAGTAAAATGCTGAACGTGGCACTGAAAGTTTCCTAAAATTGAAATGCTGGCTTCTGAAGCATATAAGATTTTAAACATTCAGTTTAAATTTTAATATGAATCATGTGTGTTTAATCAAGGGACGATAAACTTACCAGCATGCTTTTAACTAATGCTAACTAAAAAAGAAGCTAGTTAGTATGGGGGGAAAAGGTTACTGTTGGAGTAGTAAATAGTTTTTCACCTTTTCAGCAGATGAGAGTTAGAAGCTTTCTTTCCAGGGTGTGCATGTTTTGTGCGTTTTAGTGGGGCCAACCTATTTACTTGGGTAGAGAAGGAAGTGTGAAAGCTTTGTACAATTGATTACTTGACTTTTTTTGTCTCATTGTATAATGAGTTGTCAAATAATCCTATTTTTGGTCCTTGGCCAAATATTCAGGAACTCTAGAAAAAAATGTAAGCAATTGAAATATTAGATAATAAAGTAATCTGGTTAGAAAATCAAAAGAAAATATTCGTACAAAGGGGAAAATATATGGTACTTAAAGCATATCTATAAAATGAAAATATTTTTCATATCGATCTCCTTTATCCTCTTCAAATTAAGGCTTTTTTGTGGTCAGACATTTCTCACGGTGTTGCAAAGACACAACTTTGTGTGCTAAAACCAACTCCCTTAATGGTATTTTCAACATGCCTGTGTTCCTGAACCTTGCAGAGAGGAATGACCAAGGTCTGGACAAAGGCATTCCTCCTTTTTTTAAAAAGCAGTATAAACATCACACCTATTTATTCATTTTCCACACATACCATCTCTTTGAATTTTGAGTTGTCATACTATGATATGCTTTTCCTTCCACCAAAGAAAGGTTTCACTACAATGTTGAAAAATCTCGTGGGGTACTGTTCTAGAAGCAGTATTTTAAAAGCAGTGGCTTATCAGGATTTCTCTGAAAACACATGCACGTTGAATATTTTCTCGTACAGGGTGAAGGAGATTTATTATTGATCTCTTCAAAATTGTGTTATGTGGTTGAACTTGATGGCAGTTCAGCTTTTCCAGTATCTTTCACTCTTTAAAAGAGACAGTGCAGTTGCCTTTTCTTTTGGAGGAACTGCATTCTGGTAGTCTTCTGTATCCCACCATGTCCGCAGAGCTGAGAGAAGTAAATTCCTGGCTTACAGTGCCTGGTGTTAAGGGAGTGAAGGTGTCCTGTAAATAAATGGCTGAGATGAGGAAGAGAGAACAGCATTCCCTTTGCATCATGAGCAATTTCATCACATACAAAGTACACTCCCTGTCACTCAAATTGAAATAGCACAATGCACCTCTAATCTGTGTCTGTCTTAAGCTATATTTGCCATTCTAACCAAGATGACAGGTATTTTAAGTTTGTTGCAGTGCTATCCATTTGTTCTCCGGCTGTCAAATTCCGGCCATATGTTGTGTCCACTGGAGGCAACTCTACCACTTTTGGATTTAGGCTCTGGTATAGAGATGTAGACGTATTCCCAGCTTTATACAGGAGAGTTTGGCAGTAATGGAGATTCACGGTGCCACTGCTGTGCAGTGTGACAAACCTTGGTCTCACACAAAAGTCTGGCAAAATGATCTCCATTGGTTTGTTCACTAGGTGGAAATCTAACTGTGCTTAACCATGTTTTCTGTAATATTTAGACTTTTAGTCGTTTTGCCATAACAAAGCAATTACTATGCTTTTTCACACCTGGAAAATCCTCTCTCAGTAGACTTCTGTCCTGTCCACCAAAAGCTTTCAGCCAACCAGATCTTGGCAGCAGGAAGCTGTCAAGAAGGCTGATGTCTGCATTCTAGAACTCCTTTTTTAAATTGACAATGCTGTCATTAGAAAACTGTGAGCATCTCATACAGGCATCCCTCCACTTAGAGCTTCAGTGTTCCTAATCCAGTCTTACTTAGCTGTTGGTTTTTTGAGAAGGATCTAGAATTTTTCTGGGAGAGGTCTTTGTATTTCTTGTACTGTAAGTGAAATCTCTGGTTTTGAAAGGTGGCAGAAGAACAGTGAGGCAACACAAAGCAATTGTGGGTTCAAGTATGTTTTACCAGTTTGTCCACTTAAATGTGTATTGACAGGTGCTGCATACTATGACGGGCTGGCTCCCATTTTAAATGCTTATACCTGGGGTAGGTTCAAATCTTTGTCCTGAAGATCACTCCTATGGTTCATGGAAGTTCATGGAATGAAATGTACACGGGAGGTTCTTCAGAGCTGCAGATAAGCCAGGTGATTTTTCTGCTTTTAATCCAAGGTTTTCAAAGCATAAAAAAAAGTTGTTAATCACTAGAAGACTCTTCTTAAGACTCTTCCTGACTGCAAACCTACAGAAAACCCAATCTATTGATTCATTCCATCTTTTGCAATTTGAACAATTGCCAATCATTTATGAAGAATCTGGTCAATAGTATTGTAGTTTTTCATTGCTGGGGATTTGAATTTCAGAAAGGTATCTATTGCATCAGTTTTCTGTGTTGTGGAGCTTAAGAAAGGATGAAGTACTACTTCACATAAGTCATACATCTATTACTACTAGAAAGGACTTTTGAATAACACTGTTTTATTCAGCATCCAGCCTAGTCACAGGAAGTTTAAAACTACTTCGATAAACTGGAGAAACTAGTTTATTACCATTGGCCTTAAAAGTCCAGTTTCGTAAAGGCTTTACATTATGGAAGACTTGCTTCAGATGTGATGTTGAGGCATTGTGAGCAGACTGATATGACCTATTAGGATTCCATTTGCTAAGCACTTAGATGCTGAAAACATCAAAGTATCTGTACTGTGCTCCACTTTTCTCTTTCTCACATCTTTTAGTTGTGAAGTATCTGCTATATATAGTCCTGGAAATAACTGTTGATTGAAACAAAGATGTGATGATTCTAATCAGTTTTCATAGTTCAAGATTCTTAATTTAATGTGCTTGATATCATTACATTTTGTGCTGGGTACTTTGAAGAATCATGAGAATTTCCCACATGTACATTTTCTTTTGAATGATTTAGTGAAGTCAAGAAAATTACTTCATTTGGCCTATGGACAAAACATTTGATTTCAACATCTTACTGACTAGAGAACTTGTCTATTAATAGTTGCCTAAAGATGTGGCCTGTGGATTCTGATCACTTCCTACTAGTAAATTACACAAATAGGTGTGGTATTTATATCTGAAATTTTGCTGGATGCCTGGTATACTTTATGCAAATATGTTATTAATCAAATGGAAATGCTCCTGCAAAGCTTCATGATGCAGATTGTCCATCAGTTGATCAAGTGAGCTTACAAACAAGTAGTTCTGTGACCCAAAACGGCATGTTTTCTTTTAAGACTGATCATTTAAGAATGTTTTGTCTTTTGTAGAAGAAATATGACTTTTATACAATAAACAGTTGGAGAGGTTCTTAAGCACCCAATAACCTGGTTTTAGAACATAATATCCTAAGTTGGAAGGGATTCAGAAGAATCATTGATCCAACCCCTGGCCCTGCCCAGGACACCCCAGCAGTCCCACCCCTGTCCCCGAGAGCGTTGTCCAAACACTCCCTGAGCTCTGACGGCCTTGGGGCCGTGACCGCTAGCCTGGGGAGCCTGGTCAGTGCCCGACCACCCTCTGGGGGAAGAACCTTTTCCTGATACCCAGCCTAAACCTCCCCTGACTCAGCTTCATGACATTTCCTTGAGTCCTGTCACTGCTCCCGAGAATGAAGTCTGTCTGTCAGCAGGGCACTGAATGTAGATGGTTGCTATTTGACAAAGCTTCCTATGACCATGTACTAACTCTAATTGGATGTGGCAAAAGTTCAAAATTGTGCCAGAATTTAAAGTTACTGTATCTGACAAAAGAGAAAAAATTGGAACTAGGAACCATACTCAGTTTTGATAGATGTATGCTAGCTGTTTTCAGGTTGGTGGCAGTCAGTTACATGTGTAATATGCTCTACCTGGTTTGTAGCTGTAACTGTGATGTATGGATTAAAAAAAAAAACAAACAAACCACAAAAAAACCCCCAGCCCCTCTCAACAAACAACAAAACAATCTCCCCTCTTCCAAGAACTTGTGAAAACAGAAGCAAATAATGCAATGATATAAGATACACACTTTTGTATTTTTATTCTTATAAGGTTATTTGCTGGCTCTTGTTGGCCTCTAGTTCAGTCTGTGTTATTTAAATTCTAATATATGAATTATTTGGATTGAATTCATGTTCGGGGCCATGGTGTTGTATGTATTGATGTACAGCCTTGAATGTGAATAATTATTGTAAACTATATTTTACACCTTTTTTCTGGCTTTATTATATAAATTTTCTATCGGTCGATGATTTAATCATATCTCATAATTTAATGACTGTTTATTCTCCTCTCGACAGATCTCTGTGCTGTAGATGTGTAGTTAGTGACTGGATGACGGATTTCACTTATGCTTGGTAGTCTGTAATAAAGGCATGTAGGGTCCTGCGCAGCCTCCGCCTCTTCCTTCCGGTGGGTCGGGGTGGGGACAGGGGTGGACTCGGGGCTCGGGGGCCGGGCCGGGGCCTCTCCCCGGAGAGAGGGGGCAGGGAGCGGCTCCAGCGGGCGCTTCCGGGGGGCGGCGCGCCCGGGGCTGGGCCGGCGGGGCGGCCCCTTCCGGCGGCGGCGAGGATGGCGGCGGAGAACCACTGCGAGTTCGCGGTGCCCGTGGCCGGCGGCCTCGGCGCGGGCGGGCCCTGCCGCCGCTGCAGCTCCGCGCCGCCGCCCGGCGCGGGGCCCGGCAAGTGGGTGCGGCTGAACGTGGGGGGCACCTGCTTCCTGACCACTCGGCAGACGCTCTGCAGGGACCCCAAGTCCTTCCTCTTCCGCCTCTGCCAGGCCGATCCCGACCTGGACTCGGACAAGGTGAGCGCGGGCCCCGCTGCGGGCCCACTCGCATGTCCCCGCACCGGGCCCGCTCCCCTGGCCCCGCACCGGGCCCGCTCCCCTGGCCCCGCGGTGTGTCCTGTCGGGCGCCCGCCGGTGCGGAGGGAGCGCTGGGCCCGGCGCTGCCGTGAGGGGCGGTGGGAGCGGCTCTGCCGCCGCGAGGGCAGTTTCTGAGGGGTGCTGTTTAACGAGTCCGTGAGCTTCAGGGGAGCTGAGGTGTAAGGTGGGCTGATGCCGTGCGAAACCATTGGGTTCGTGAATAACGCAGCTGCTCATAAATACAACAGAGAGCACAGGATCGTTCATACATTTGTGTGACTTTTTATGTTGTCTGATGGGGTTTAGTTTTAGCATTTTAGTGGAATATCTGTGTGCACTAACATTTTGTTATTTTTGCACTGTCATCACTCACTTGTTCAATTTCAAGAACCTAATCAAAGTACTTTTGATAATAACTTCTCACTTGGGCATGGCATTCTGTCTTTCAGCAGTTCTTTGAGAAAAACGTTACATATTCTGCATAGATTACAAATGGTGGGTGATACTGAATATTTCAGTATTCATTCTGACTCATTTTTAGTAGGGAAAGAAGAGTTATTATCTATGGTGTGGTATGCAGTAACAGATTAAAAGTATTTGTATATAGTGCTGGCTCTGGAAGCAGTTTTGGACCAGCATGAACAAAAAGGTTTTTCCAGTACAGTACACTTAGGGAAAAGAAAGGAACAGCTTATGTAACCAACAGAATGAATATGTAACCAACAGATTTAAAATAAAGAGTTGCTTTTTATATATAAATTTTTAAAATTTTAATTTTTTAAATATATATGACTTTTTTTTTCAGTGAGACTTGTAGTAGATTTCATTATTTTCTCAGGTATAACTTCCAGGGAGGATATTTCAACACTTAAGAAGGTAGGGAACAGGACCTAGTATTCCAGATTTAGAGAAAAAACCCAACTTCAAATGTAGTGTTGTGGGAGTGGATTTTTTGTTGTTGCCTTTGATTTGGCTTGAGTGTTTCTGGAGAGCTTAAACTAACCTATAAAAGCAAATTTAAAAATGTAGATGACTTGCTGATAGGTCAGAAATTGTCTTTACTTGGGACAGTAAAGGTTTAAGGTTTTCTTAACTAAAAGATAAGGCACTGCCATATGCCCTGGCAGATTGGAAGGCCAGCGGTGTCCTAGGGGGCATCAGGCACAGCATCAACGGCCAGGCCAGGGACGGGATTGTCCCGCTCTGCTCTGCACTGGGGCGGTGTCACCTCAAGTCCTGGGCACAGTTGGGGCACCACAATATCAGAAGAATCCAAAGTTCTTAAAGGGCATCCAAAGGAGAGACACAAAGATGGTGAAGGTCTTTTGGGGAAGCCAAAACGGCTCAGGTCACTTGGCTTGTTCAGTTGGAGAAGAGGAGACCTAGGGAAGACCCCATAGCAGTCTGCAGCTTCCTTACAAGGGGCAGCACTGATCTTTGCTCTCTGTGACCAGTGACAGGACCTGAGGGAATGGCTGGAGCTGTGTTAGGGGGGATTAGGTTGGATATCAGGAAAAGGTTCTTTTCCCAGAGGGTGGTTGGGCAATGAACTGGCTCCCCAGTTTAGTGGTCATGTCCCTAAGGCTGACAGAGCTCAGGGAGCGTTTGGACAAAGCTCTCATGGACAAGGTGGGATTAGTGGGGTGTTGTGGGCGGGGCCAGGAGTTGGAAGGGACTCACAGGGATCAGTGATCCAGCTCAAGATATTCTGTGATTCTGTGATTTCCTTAATGGTTGCTACAAAAAAGAACTGACAGGCTTAAAGAAAGGGACCACGTTTGCTTTCAAGCTACCTTCAGGTGCTAATGTTGAGTAGGGTGGAGCAGCCTGTCTCTTAGTGTCAGATATGTTCCCACTTGCAACAGAGGGAAGATTAACCTTGGCACTCCCTGAGGCAAAACTAGTGTTTAATGGAATAAGATCCTGACACAGGTTCTCTGAATTTAGTGTGTGTCACAGTGTCATGCACAACTTTGTATTTAAGACTTCTTGGGAATCATTTCAGCAAATGAATGGTAGTAGTCATACTTACTCTTAAACAATAGGATTTGTTTTCTGGAATATTTAAATCTTGGTATAGAATTGAATTCGTAAAAATAGACAAGCAGAGCCTTGCTCACCTTTTCATCATTGTTTAATTTAATGCTTTTACTGCATTATTTCCAGATATTTTCCTATTTCAGCACCTTCCTACTTTAGCTATATACCAGTTTTTCTTTTTCAAACTGGTCTATTGGTCTTTTAATTTTCCCCTAAGTGAGGAGATTGCCAGGCTTTCTTAATAAGGCTTTGGCAACAGTATTCATGCTTGATTTTTAATGCCTTTCTAAAGTTAGATGAATTTGTACTGAGATAGAATCTGTCGAGGAAGAAAGCAAGCAAGCACTGAATATTTTAGAAAAATCAAAATCTTCCTGGCAGCACATCCTTAACTGTCATTAGTAAGAAATATCTAAATTGTAGTCATTATTCTAAGAAATAATTGAGATAAACTATATTTGTCCGTGACATTTCTAACTAGTTAGATGGGTTGTGTTACTGATGTAGTTTTGATAGGTACTAGCAGTCTGCTGACACTCAAAGTTTTTAGGCCCCATAGTTTGTGAAAAATGTGTTCTGGGCAACTAGCTCAAGATTTAAAAAGCACAGAGGGTAGGGGAGACAATTATTTTTAAATCCAGATTTAGTGCCAAATATTACTATATTTCTGTGCATATTGCTGCCTTTAGCAGAACTTGTGCTTGCTCAGTGTATGTAAATGATGTAATTTTTTTAAAATACTCATGTTAGAGCACACAACTTTGAGACAAAAGCTTGGTGCTGTGGATTCTGAGTGTAACCATTCTGGAAAAGTATTGGTCTCAGTGAAGATAATTAACTGGAAATAAATTTATGACATTTCAAATACTGCTTTAATGCAGTTCCTGGGGAGACTGTTAAATGGGATTGGGGAGGCGTATGGATTTGGTCCACGTTTATGAGTCCGACTGGAATCCTGAACCGGACTCTGGTGTCCACAGTTCAGCGTCACAGTGGGGTAGTGGGTAGTCACAACATGGAACATGATCTGCCAGAGGGTTATAAAGAACAAAACTGTTTTGTTGGCAAGGAGTTTAAGGAGTGACTTCTCAGTCCAGAATTACATAAATGGAGACTAGAAATCTAATAGTGAAGCCTGTTCAATCTAGCAAAGGTATTGTCAGATCCTCCTATTGAAGTGTCAAACTATAGATGTCCATGCTAGAAAGCACATAATGTTAACAGTGACAGTAATTATTTATTGGAATGGCTTGCACTAAAAGGTTAGGTTTCACCACTTCTTTCTAAAGGTTAAATTTCACTGTAAATAAATTGAATCCTATGTGTGTTTTAAACTAAGATCAGGGTAAGTGTTCATTATGATTCCTTTGAACCTCAGTCTCTATAGTTGAAGTGGAAATGTTTGCAACAGGAATACACGATCATTTTACAGTTTTGGGCAATATATTTCAAATTCTTTGAAAATACTTGTGTATTGCAGAACTAGGTGATTGAAAATTTTAGAGCAAGTTATTAGGGCTTCCTCTAAAATTTCATGGTGTGGGAGAGTGGTGATAAACAAATGCAGGTTCACTGTACCTGATCAATGCTTTCTTTTAAATGGTGTCCTTGTAAGTGCATGTGGAAAAGGTTCTAGGACTTAAGGACAAGGAAGGAAAAACTTGCTAGAGATGTAATGCAAAAATAGAACTGGGTAAAGATACAAACACTTGTGTGATTAATTAGCACTTTTGCTTTGTGTTTTCTTATGAAGAGTGTCAAAATGTGCATGAAACACCTCTGGGGTCAAAATCTGGGGTGATGTGACTACTGAATAGAGAGGAAATGAGTTTCAGCTGCTGTTCTGGTAAACATTATCACCTGTTTGCATTATATATGTATGTATATATACACAAAAGAGAAACCTGAAATCTTATTAAGAATATAGATTTGTCTGACATTTGTGGTATTTGCCTGAAGTTCGGGAAATGTCTTTAAAATACCACACTAGTTGTGTCAGTGAAGATTCAAACTTGCTCGAAGCTTGTAGAAGCCGAATTTACTAGTTAGCAGAGGAAATTGCTTAGCAGGGACACCAAAGTCTATTAATATTTAAGCTAGCAGCTTAAAGCTAGTTATGTCTGTGCAGACTGTAACTATGTATTTAAACTGCTAGACCACACGTTAACTGCAATTTAGTATTCTTATCTTAAAATAAAACTTTCTTTTAGAAAATGTCAAAATGCTAATTACTCAAGCGAATACAATGTGCTTTCATGTACATGTGGATGCAAACAATCCTGATGATATTCTGATAGACTTATGACCTGTATTTTGAGTGTTCTAGGTAGAACAGATAATTACACTTCTGTGTCAGATTTTATTGGATTTATGTTTACATAAATATCCTTAAAGATCTAGTGTAATCGGCTTTTCTTAGTGATTTCAACATGAAGTGCTTAGCATACATTGAAGGATATTCGGGCAGCTCACTCTAAAGGAGGAGTGATAAGGCATTTTCTACAGGAAGATGCCAAGGAAGTAAATTTTGTGCCCCTTTTGCCTGTGCATTTTTTGCATATGGTTACAATATTCTTTACTGATTGGTTTTCCTTTCAGGGTGATTCCCTGCTGCTAGTCTGTAGCAAACCTGAGCTGTGAGGTCAGTGTTCAAGACACACATCTTCCTCTTTGGAATAATGTTAATTAATGCATGTTTTCCATATCTGTAGACATGTTTGGATAGGCAAATTTTGCAGAGAATTTACATGCTGAAGTGAATGCTATTGACAGAATTTGTACTGCACACTGTTAGCATTTAGCCAGAGTTTATAAGTATTGATATTTGCTATTCTGTTGCATCATAAATAATAAGACTTATGTGTGCCGCCTTCTTTTTTATTATTTTTCAAGACATATTATTGCCTGAAAGGCTTCACAGAGTAAACAATGACCCTGCTGGAATTGCGTTTTATTCATACGCGACCTCTCATAAGGTGGAAGTTTAAAGAGAAGGCCTGACATAGCTTCTTCCCTTTGTGGTTATGTTGAAAGCTTGTTTAGTGTATAGAAATCTGCTTAGGGAAGGGTAATTTCAGATACTGTAGCCCGTTTTTAAAAAAAAAAAAAAAAAGAGGAAAGAAAAGAAATGTTGAAGCCTTTTTTGCAAAGAGTGAAGTAGCCACTGTTACTTGAGATTTCATTTAGAGCTTTTAGTTACTTTGCTTCCCAGACTGACCTCTCTATCTCTGTAGTGCTGTAGAGCTAGTGGCCAGTATTGCTTCATAAGGTGATGTGAGCAAACACTGTAGTGTAAAGAATTACAATAATCTTATTGAACAAGATTATTTCTAGAGATTTATTTCTGTTAACTGGGAGGACTTCCAGTTTTGTAGGCCCATATGTTTCTTAATTCAGTTCAACTGATGACCAAGTACTGTGCTTGTCTTCTGTAAAATAGTGTTTCTTTTTATCTGTTTTAGATTATACTTTTCAACTTCACTGGTTTCTGTTCCTGTATTGAATAATACATTTCAGTTTATAATTCATACAGTTGTCAGCTAATTTAATTTGTTCGGGTTTTATCTGTAGATTGTTCGTTCTTGAAGTGTTTTGATAATGTAAATGTATTTAAATGTGACATATTAAAACTGTCCCATCTTATGCACTTTGTCTATCTGCTGGTTTTGGCGCATAGCCTCGCTTCTGTGAGACCTTGAGTTTAGATCAGAAGAAATTGTGATTAGACTTCATCAAGCATTGTCTGATCTGAGTGCAGGTTAGCTGACATCATGTTTTAATGTATTAAACATTTTCTTGAACAGTTAATTTTATATAAAATTAAACACCCCTTCACTTCTTCTAAAATGACAGTGTGTCTTAAATGTGTACAGCATTTAGCTTGTAATTATAGAAAGGTGTTTGTGGCTTTTGTAGTTCAGGCTGTGGTCTTTCTACATTCTACCAGCCCCAGCTAGACAAGTGCAGTTATTCAGAAACTAAATCTGTGTACCTGAAAATATATTCACCATCTTTTTTCCAATTAAACATTTTTTGGAATTCTAGGTCCTTTTAAGTAGAAAGAGTTTTCAGGTATCTGAGTTCAGTAAGCAAACCTTTATATATAAGCATTAATGTTCAAATGCAACGGATTGGGTCAGTAGAATTTTTTTTTTCATGTGGAACAGCAAGTATCACTAGCATATGTGGTTTCCAGGGGGAATGATTCAAATGTAGCTAGGATTGTTAGTAATGATGCTTTTTTGAGTATCTCCTGTAAACTACTAGAATATTAAGAATAAGTAAAAGAAGTATTTGGGGCGCTGCCACATCTTCAGTATGTATCGGTGAGATATTTATTGTGCCAAAACCTAAAGGATTAATACTGTCAGTGATCCACTTGGTAGCAGAAAGAAGCAGTAGATCTGTTAGACATCTGTCTTTTGAATCTTCCTTAGACCTCTGGCCAGCATGAAATATATCAGTACTGCATTGATCACAGGGGTTCACACATAGATTCTAAATAACATAGGAGATACCAATTTTGCCTCTTTATCTCTTTGTCAGGAATATCAGCTCTGGATTTCTTGATGTGTTTTGCATTTCACAAAACGCTGTAGTCTGTTCAGTAAACTGAGTGTTAGTTAATTTGATCTATTCCTTCACTGTCTGCACGAGGTAGGTAGAAACTGCAACTTCAGTGTATGCTTTTTTAGAAGATGCACATATGACTCTTGCTTGGTACATGGCAGTTCTCAGTACCCTGTGAGGTTTTGTACATTGGAGCTAAGACAAAACTAAATGTTTTTAGAACAAAGTGTTGAGGTTAAAAAGAAGTAGATTTGTTTGCCTTTAATTAAAAAAAAAAAGAAAAAGGAAAAACTGGTATTTGATCCTTGCTAGAATGTAGCCTTTGTTCAGGTTTCCAAAAAAAAAAAAAAATTCCTCATTTTAAGTGTTAATTTTAGCCTTAACTTTTCACTTACTACTTAGATCTTTCATGCTAACAATGTTGATAATCTTTGATAAATGGTTGTGGGTGATTAATCAGGTAAGAGAAGTTGGGTATTACATGATTCGAGTGATCAGTCTCGTAAAATTACAACTACATTGTTGAATTCCTTCCTTTTAATGTCTTTAATAAATTTGGCTTTAATGGATGTGGCTACATCTGAATATCTGCTTGCTATTCAGATGCCAAGCTGAATATTTGCTTGCAATTCTCACTTGGATGTTCAAATCATTGTGGTTTTTTTTGGCTTGTTTGTTTGGGGTTTTGTGTTTTGTTGTTCTTGTTTGGGGTTTTGTTTGGTTTTTGTTTGTTTGTTTGTTTTTTCTAATCTAGGATGAAACAGGTGCCTATTTAATAGACAGAGACCCAACATACTTCGGGCCAGTGCTGAACTATCTGAGACATGGGAAACTGGTTATTAACAAGGACCTAGCTGAGGAAGGTAAGACATTCCTAAATATCCTTTATTTGTTTACTTGTCACTTGCTTATTATTTTCACTGCTTTTGAATCATCAAAACTAATTTAGAACTAGATGGTAAATCTTAATCAGTGTAGCATATCGATCTGTTTCAAGCAAAGCTGATAGGCATCATGCAGTTATAGTATGTGCTGTTAGCTGAGTGTTTTGAGTATGATTCCTATTTTCACAACCCCTGTAAGTATTCAAGGAGGAGGGGAGGGCTTTTATTGTATAGTCTTGTACCTTTCATTTATGACTGTGTGAAATATTTGGGTTTAGTCCTCTTCAAGCAAAAGAATGCTGCCTGGGAAACAAGCTTTAGAAGATGTAAATAAAAGTAAGAGTGAAGTTCTGGGATGTTCACAACTGTGGAATATGCTCTCAGAATAGACTAAATTCTGCTCTCAGCTTCTTCCTCCCTGTCCCCAGATTGTAACAATTTTACCCTAATGGAGGACTGTTTTAAAACATATAGTACTAAAACTGTATTGATAAGGTATTGAAGAAATTTTTCAAAGAGAAATACAATTTAATAATATTAGCAAGAAATAGTATGAAATATAATTTCCATGTGCATTGTTAAGCACATACTATGTGTGGAGAAAAAGTAAGACTTGAAGCAGTAACTTTAAGCTTTTGTTTCAGGACCTAAGATCTCAAATGACAGGAAGAAAAATTTCCTGCATGCTAGCAGCTGCAGAGCTTTCCAGTAGGATTATTTGAATTTCTCTTTTGCATTCCAGCCAGAGGCAGGGCCTGAGCTATGGTGGTCTATCAGTCTGCTATGGAATGGTATCTGTGCTCCTTTTTTTGTTTCCTGCCTCATTCTGTATGTGAAATGGCGTCTGTTTTCTTTGAGAGTTTTTTGGGACACTTTTTAGAATGAGCTAAACATTGAACTACCTGTGCCTGAAGGATGGAAGATTCATTAGGTTGGTAAATTATCTTATGGGCAAAATAAATAATTTTCTATAGCTGTAGAGAGGATAATCTTAGGAACTGACGATGATTTTGTTCTGGAATCTTTGGTTACACTGTCTTTCCAAAAAATGTTTTCATACTAGGTGTACTGGAAGAGGCTGAATTCTACAATATCACATCACTAATAAAACTGGTAAAGGACAAAATAAGGGAAAGAGACAGCAAAATCTCACAGGTGAGGCTGTTTTCTAGTGTGCTTTTGATTATTTGTTCTATGACAAGCACTGGGTGGGTTCCATTCGTTTTTTATGTAACTGCTCATTTCCCCAGTAAGATACTGAATGACTGCCTCCATCTCTGGATGAGCTGGAACCCTTAGTATACAAAGATTAATATTCTTAATTTCTGGCTCCTGCCAGTCTACTTGCAAAGTTCACAAATCTTGTTCAAAACATGAAAACCATCTAAATAATTGTTCCAAAATGTGTGGTAACAGTAGAATTTCTCATAATGTCATTTCTGCAAGTAGTTATTTTAGAGAACAGCTTTTTTAGAATATGTCTTTCTCATTTGCATTTAAGTACTCTGAATATGATGAGGTTGCCTAATTATGGTACAACTGCTGTTTATACAGTATGTTTATGCAGCATGCATACAGATGCTATTTAGCTCCTATCATACGTTTCTGTAGCAAAGTTAGTTTATTTGTAGTGCTCTGTGGTTGAGAAGACTGCTGCTTCTCATAGCAGCTCATGAATATTTCTCCATGGAAGTGAATACAATAGAGAAAGTTTGTTCTTTAACTCTGCTACTCTGGCCTTCTTTTGTAACTGAGTCTTCATGGAGATATTCCAAACTCATGTTGCCAAATTTCTGTTGAAGTCAGGTTGTGGGATCACAGGGTTGCTCTGATAGCATTTACTAAAGGTCTCAGCTAAAATGGCCCTAGTCATTCATTGCTCTGTATAGGTTCAAGGTGGTGTTGCTTATCATTTCTAGAAAGTAAGGGTTGCTTCAGACAAATCACAAACATGGTGAATTCCATGACCTATTGAGCATCTTATATTTCTTCTTGAAGGTGCCAGTCAAACACGTATACAGAGTGCTGCAGTGCCAGGAAGAGGAACTCACTCAAATGGTTTCCACAATGTCCGATGGCTGGAAATTTGAGCAGGTAAAAAACCCATATGGGTTTTTATAGTTACAAAGTCTTCTAAAAGATCAGTTTTGTGAAAAAGGAGTATAAAATAAATTCTGTGCATCTTTTGCCACTCAGTCATTTTCAGAATTTGCATATACATACACAGTTAAGTTAAAATCTGATATTTGCGTTCGTATTTGTCATAGAACAAAAAAATGTAGCTTTCCAGGAGGTAAACTGTGCTGACTTTCTTTAAAAACATCTGCATCATGTCTGAAATGTAATTCTTCAGTGTCTACACATGAGCAGTTGAAGGGTGAATCAACCAAAATTATCCAATACAAATTTATGTGAATGGTAAGTTAGATATAAAGAGCTCTGGGTAAAAAGAGGTGAGCTTGGAAGATAAATGTTTGTCAGGCCCAAAGAGTGATTGTTCAGATAAAAAACTGATAGACATAGGAGGGTGGACTTCACCAGTGTAGATGTGGAGCTGGATAGCTATGAGCTATGTGAATGTTCTTTGCACTGCATAAAAATAGCTTTGTGTGTACATTCAAGAATGCATCGTAAAATTGCAAGGAGATCTTTCTGTTATTTTTTGCTGATCTCTGTAAATAAGGAACTAACTGTACAACTCTGTCATCCTTCACATTCCTAACCTAGAAGAATATTTAACTGCACTGGAACGATGAATCTGTTAACTCTGAGACATGAGTGCTCAGCCGCTAGCACCTTTTTCAGTGTCTGATGCCTACTGTAGGAGAGATTGGAATAAGCACAAGTCCGTTATCCTGTGCAGTCTCACTCTAATAATACAACAAAGCAACATTTTTAAAATGTTCAGGACACAAAGGTAAAAGAGAACATTTTGTTTATATTTGATGAAATGTGTAAGGTGCTGGTGTCATGGAGACATCCTGACCAAGCAAACTCAGCGAACACGGAAACAGCTTTTTATTCTTCACTTCTCTGGCTCAAGTATTACCAGGTCTGTTTGCCATGCTATGAGGTGATTGTTGTTGAAGTTCCTGTAAAAAGCCCTCACTTAATGCACATGACTTTTTTGACCAGTGCATTGACAAAGTTTTTTCAACATTCTTCTTTGTCATGAGAAACTAGCTTTCATTACGAACAGAGATTCTTCACTTTTTAAAAGATTAGATGATACCATGGCTTTTACCTATCCTGAAGCCTTACAGTCTTTGGGGATATTGTATTTGGGAGTAATACTGGTTTGACAGTGCAGCTTCTGAAAGAACTGTTATAATCTCTTTTAGAACTGGAAAATTCCAGTGGTTTTCTTGAACATTACACCCTTGTTTCATTCAGCTTTCTTCCCGCTTCCTCTCTCTCCCATGTTGCACTCTTTTAGACACATAGTTTGAAGTAGATAAACACAATATCTGTATGATCTTATAATACTCAGCATCTTATTACCTCACACTAGGCCATTCCCGTCTTTGGTTGTATTGGAGACCTGCTTTTAGCAGACAGCATTCACTTGCAACAGAATTAGTATATTCTGTATAATGTGAGTAGTTTTATTGTGAAGATCTGAGAACACTGTAGCATTTCTGTAATTTTTTATCTTTTCTAAGCCCGTGTTGTTCAGCAGCATGCTTCCTTCAGAAGTTTTTGGAGTGGTATCCACCACACTTTGTACCTAAAAAACACTGAAATCATCAGCTTTTTCGGAGGAGTGATATTCCTATGGATTGGGAGTCCTTGTGCTCTGAGCCCCATGCAATATGTCTAAGTGGTTGGTTTTGATCAAAACCATTTCTTTCCCCTTAACATTTCAAAATTTTATTGTAAAATATGATTGAATGTGGTAATTAAATGGGATTGGAAGGTGCTGAACTTTTGGTGCACTTATGCAGATGTTTTGATGCCCTTTTCCAAAGAATGTGAGGAAAAGCTTTGCTAGAACAGTACAGTTATGTATTACTCCCAGTTCAAAATCTATTACCAAAAATTATGGTGCCCTACTTTTCTGATTTCAGTGGGTTATTTTGTAGAGGATTTTTTAGCTTCAATTGTTACTGCTTCAGGCAATCAGAAAAAGCCAATATTTTGGCAATACAACATAAACTTTGGACTATACAAAATTGGTACGTACAAAGGCTTTAGACAGCAGTGGTGTTGGTCATGTCAGTTTTAATGATCAGTGTAACCTGAGTCTGTCACCATAATGCAGTCTTAAACACGTTCACAGTATGAGGAGGACGATATTTAGCTGCTTCCTTCAAAATTATTCACGTAACAATATCAGGATGTATATAACTTTACTGTTCATGGGCCTTCTTATCTATGTCAATCTCCAGTTTACTCAGAATAGGCAGTTGTTGTCTAGCTCTTCACACTTAATTTAAAGCTCTGATCTTTCTAAAGGGCACTGACAGGTATGCTTTAATTTAAATGGGCTAGGAATTGCTATGTATTATTAAGGTAAAATATTTTTTATAGTAACAAGTTGAGAAATTTAGCTGAGGTTATGCTGAACTTTGAATTATTAGATGGTTGGCAAGTGTGACCAGAGTTCTTGGTAGTGTTTTTTATGGGAACAAGACAGACATTTTTTTTTCCACTCCAGTTATTTTCTTGGATCTTCTGTAAATTACCCCTTCTGAAAGCAACTTAGAGCACCCAACTTTTTTTCCTCTAGTTGATTTCTTATGTTTCCTTAGCTGTATTTTGTTTATCAGTATTTGGAACAAGATGAAGCTCTTTCATACCCAGGCTTGATATATTGCTTTACATAACACCTTCCAGTCTTATATCCACGTTACCTTCTCCACTTGGCAAGTATGACAGGGAAATAATGCTTGCTTTCATAATGCACTGAACTTTGTTTATGTTTTTCGGAGTAGTTGGCTACACCACAGTGATATGGGGAGTTTTCTGTCTTACTGTCAGTAACTCTTAACTTCCCTTGAAATTACAAAGGGCTTTGCAGCTGCCACAATAATTATTTTATGTGGAAATGAAGTTGTAGCTTGATAGCAACCTCTTCTAGTGGCAAGTAAATATAACCTAAACATTTCAGCTCATCTGTTAATTGTACGATTTGGATAATGGTATGTGCTTCAGCTTTACAAAGGTTTCTTTTTGTGTTTTGCTTTGATTGGTTATTTCAGCTTGTCAGTATAGGTTCCCAGTACAGCTGTGGCCGGGCTCAGCAGTCAGAGTATCTGCTGATAGTGTCACGGGAAGTGAAAGGGGAAGAGAGATGCTTCCAGAAATGCTGCAGTGAGGTGTGTCACACCATTCTTTTTGCCCTCACACTGATATGCTTGGCCTCCTTGCGTTTCTGCTGCTTTCAAATCATTCCACTTTATTCCTGGATGTACAGCACGTAGTAATTTGTGTGTATTTGTGACTGGTTTTTATTTATATTCACAGTATTTCATTATACATTATGAATGTTCATATTGTAAAAATAATAAAAAAACCAACCAAACAAAATTTCCCTCATTATTCAGTTAAATATTTTTCTTAAGAAGGGTTCTTACCTTCTCAATAGGTAACTTTTTTTCCTTAAATCTTCTTCTGAAGTTAGCAGCCTTTGATCCATACTTGTTAACTAAGAGGGGTACAATTCAAACCTTACGAACCCTGTAAATACAGTTTTGAGTTCAGTGGGTTCAGAAGGGGACATTTCTGTGTTATGGTCAAACTGGGATGATGATTATTTCATCCACCAAATAGCCAGTTAAGTTCTGAGTTTGAACCCTTTATTTCTGGTAACTCAAAACTTAGCTGTTTTTTTGATGGATGAAATATGTTCAAACTGGAATAACAAATAACAGGAATTTTTCATATGGAGGAGTGAGAGGAGAACAAACCAACCAGTTTTAAATTTTGTCTCAAGTGAAAAAAAACATCCTGGGTGGCTTTTTGGCTTTATTGGTTTGTTATTTTGTTTTTTTTCCATCTTGGGACATTTTCTTGAAACCCAAATGGAGAATCCTAACTTCAGTCATTGGTTTTTTAGGCTCATCCTTCCTTCTTCCCTTGTTCTCTTTTCACTGCTTTTTTAATTGCTTTGCAGCTTCTAAATATTCGTGAGTTTGGGAAGGATTTTTTGCTAACCAGTAACATTGGAGGATTTTTTGCTTACCAGTCACCATTTTGCTAACTGGTTAGCAAAAAGTCCAGTCCTTTACATATCTGTGCTCTATTTTGAAGTGTCATATGTGAATTAATTTGGGAACCTTGTGCTCTGTAGTATTTTTCATCGATAAAATGCTTGGAGTACTTGTTCTTTTCCTTGCTATATATATGGTTATTCAGTCTGAAAGATGAGTATAACATCATGAAGATAACATGATTGTGAAGCGGTTTGATAAAAGCAGAGCTTTGCCTATGATTTTACATGAACACTTAGCCATGCAATTCTGGATTTTAAAACTGGACTGTTACCTCGCTGTATTCCAGAATCTGCTTTTGATGTACCAAGCACTGTCTGTTTCTTTCAGCTGTATAGGTAACATTTGGAATGTGGAATTAATACTATGGGTTTGCAGACTTTCTGGAATAGAATAAGAATTGCAGCTTGTTAGGCATGTGTAGGGTACAGGCAGCATGATGTTATTCATGTGTTCATGTCCTAGATAGCTCAAAGGAAAATTCAGCATTGTAAAATGGAATATGGGGAAGGCAGTGAAGAAATGAATTCAGGTATAAAATAAAAATAATAATTAAAAAAAATCGAAGCTTTGAAGTCTGATAATTACTTTAAGAGTCCTGTAATAAATGTGCTTTCAGGCTTGGTGTCAGTCAGCAGTGCTGAGTTTAAGAGCTGACGTGTCTGTATCTTTATAAACTTTTGCAAATCCTTTGAGAAGGCAGTAGAACAAATGCATTATAACTCTAAAAGGCATAGAGGCCATTCTTAGAGTCATACAACTTGATTCTGTAAAAAAATAATGAGGGGAGGATTTTCTTTCATTCTGTCAACTCTTAGTATAATTAAAAAGACCCATAATCTGAAATACTTTGACTATGCATTGTAACATCTGTTTTGCAGACCTCAGATTACTCTGATTTGTTGTGCGTTCTTTTGTCGGGGGGCTGAGGGTTGGTGGTGTGGGGATGGCAGACATGGTGGGGGGCAGTCTTCCAGTTTATCAGCATCTTTCTCAAGGTGTTGCCACCAACACTGGGAACAATGGGGTGACTTTTGGAATAGGAGTGCTAAAACATTGCTTTATTTCTGATCTTAATTCCTGACACAACGGTTCAGTTCTAATCTGCAGTCATTTTCCATTGTTACTTTTTGTGCCATCAACCTTATTGCTGATGCATTTCAAAAAGCTACAATGAAATTTCTAGCATGCTGTTGATACTATGCAAATTATACATTCTTAACTGCACACATACAGAACTGCTTATGGGAGTATCATGAGTTGGAGTTTTGAGGAACTTGGGTTCAATGTTGCAAAAGTGACTTTATCTTGAAATGCACCAGCTGATCAATAATGGCAAAAAATCATCAGATGTTTTGCAGTCAGCTAAATCCACAATCCTGTCCAACTGGCTAATAAGTATTCAGCCTACCATGTCTTCTGAAAAGACTTATGTGCAAAAGGTTAACTCTTCTGGTTGTATTATGAAGCATTAGCAAGTAATTATCAACTGAGAACCTGTCAGCCTGGATGAACCAGGATTGATGATTTGGCTGATGTTTGGATTTTATATGGTATCTACTTTCAGAGAGATCATTTATTTCTTTAGAGGGTCAATAAATAAAGAAGTATTTTTCCTTCTGCTAGTTACCACAGCTTATCTGATAGTGAGCTGTTGCCATTTTGCAAGAAGAAAAGTTAACTGTATACTAATCACATTGTATGCTTGAATTTTATTCAAATTTCTCTTCAGAGAAAGTGATTTTTTTGTGGCTTTATTTAAACATGTATTCAACTTTCGGAACATTTTCTAGCCTTCAAGTGGATTAAAAATACTGTCTAATGTTCTACCTTTTACCTCAATAATTGAAGCAGTCACTGTATTTGTATTAAATGGTTTGTAATTGCAATGTAATATATAGGATAAACTTTATACCACTTTGTTGGGTTTAGAGCCAACTTAACTGCTATTTTTTCTGAAAGTTTGTGTATTATATTTTTTGTTGATAGAGAAGACAATCAAAAAGGCATCTCAATATATGAAGTAACTTTGTGTTGATTTTCCAGCTCTTAAGTAGCTTTTCTTAGTCCATTTTGTTCCACTAAGAAACTAGTTACTTTGTAGGTTTTGTGATTCTGTATTACACAAATATGGTATGGTGCAGACTGCAGAGTATCCATCATGGAAGATTAGCTGACTTAATATCTCAAGGTAAATAAATGGTGCCTTTATATTGAGGAGGCATTGATGCTTCTAAAAAGCCCGGGGTTTTGTAACTTCATAACACACTTTTGGTGGAAAAAAATGTCTTTAACACATTAATTTTTGATCAGCCTGTGTTCATTACTGACTGTTTCAAGTCAGTAATGTTACATACAGTGTTTCAAGTATGTATTTTGCAGAACTAGAGCAATGTTAGGAGAGAAGGAGGGAGAGAAAGGTTTCTGGTGATCACACTCAGTGTAGTTGAAGTACATCATTTCAGAGTGATGAATTTTGATGGCCAGTTCTGTTCATGGAAGGCTGAGCCTTGTATGCTGTAATACCATCAGGGTCCAAAAGCGTTGCCGTTGCCTAGGCCTGGAATCAGCTTGGTTCTTTGTGCAGGTGCAGTGGCTGCTGTTCTCTGTAGTCGTCAACTCTGTCCTCCTGTGGAGCTGCTCGCTTGGCTGTCTTACCATAGTGCAGGAACATCTGAATATCTCTCTCCTCTCCTTAGAAGTACAAAGAGGCTTTATTTTTTCCTGACAGTGCTATGTGGAAGCTGCTTTTAACCTTCATCTGACTTCCACTTTTGTTGAGGGAATAATCTTATCCCTCAAGTACAGACTCTGGATGAAGATTTCATACTGACTGCCTCTTCCATGCTTTAACAAGGCTTTTACTCTCTTATAGTGTTCTGCTAGACTGATGGCAGTACAGTGTTTGTCTTTACACAGATAACCACAGTGTTTCAAGTGCTGTTGCCCTAAAAAACAAGTCAGGCCTTTTCTACGGGGCCATTTCCAGAGCACTTTAATGAAACAGTAGAAATTGTGGAATATTGGCCTTATTGTATGTGTGCGATGATTTGGTAGGTGGATTCAATATACTTTTGGTAATGACATTTAGATACGGTATCTCTGCAACTGGTTGATTTTTAGGATTGGATCTGTGTCAGTGGTAATAGCACCATACATTATCTTGTCATGCTTTTGAAATAAAACTTTAATATAAGTGAAACAGCTGCATCTGAATTGATTCTGTCTTGGAAAGGCAGGCCATGTAAAGCTTCTAGCATTAGGTAAGTGCATTGTGTGTAAAGTAAGACAATTTCTGCTATTTGGTATATCCTCCTTTCTCAGTAAATTGTCATTTATCATTCAATATAGAGACTTGTAGAAACTTGTAAATTCGTCGCATTTCATTATACATGGCTTCCGCTTGTAGCGCTTCCTTAATTAACTTCCTTGTAGCGGTACATTTGAATTTCAGATGTTAATTGGTGTCCCACCATGCTGTGTCTTGCTGTTTTCCAATCAAATGCAAATTTTGTTTTTGTCCATTCAAAATATGTTTTAATAGAAATACCATTATTCTGTAAGTGGTGGTGGGGATCTCTTCAGCTTCCTGCATGCAGGCGTTTACATGTTAAATCATCCATGTTAAGATACCATATATAAACTTTTAAAAATTAACTTTGAGGGATAGGAAGGTTCCCAGTAAATAACAGAAACAGAACAGGCTGCTTCTCCACTGGCCTGCCTCTGTAGCCTTTTCTTTCACAGTATAATCATAACTGTAAATGATTAATTCTGTAATTGTTTAAAAAGAAAAGCTGTGTTTATCTTATCATCAGTGTCAGTGTATTTGTCAACATCAAAACATATTTGCATTGAAGTGGAGAATCGTGCTTCAGGCACAACCAACAGTGAAGAGTGAGGATTGTTTTTACTAAAGGTGAGACTTTATGGGATTTTATTTTATGTGGAAATGTAATTGACTTTTTTTTTTTCATCTTTCAGCTGGTCAGTATTGGTTCTTCCTATAACTACGGCAATGAAGATCAGGCTGAATTTCTGTGTGTTGTCTCAAAGGAATTGCATAACACTCCATATGGCACAACCAGTGAACCCAGTGAAAAAGCAAAGGTAAGTTGCTAGACATTGGACTAAAAAAGCAATGTTGAATTGGGTGGGCTTCACAAAATCATGATAGATCTACCTCTGTTCTGGACCATTATTTAATTGCCTCTTTCCTCCTCGCTCGTGACTAATTCTCTGTCCATTGTATGAGAGACTGTAAATTGTACAGGTAGCATGCATTAGTTATGCATGCATGGATTATTTAAATACAATACTCTGTACTTTTTCAATACCTGTTTCTTACAGTTGAGAATCTAGGTTTTGTTTCTTATACGTTTGAATGCTTTCTTATTCTGCCACTGGTTCAGCTGAAAACTTTTTTCTTGCTTGACTTCAGCTGAAGAAATCTTACTGTCAAGAATGGAGCTTGTAAGATGCTATCTCTGTAAAACAGTCATGTTCAGTATGTTATAAGATGAAGGTACCTCTTAGCTTAATGTTTTCAGGGTTCTACTTAATTATCTTTACTTTCTGTAACCAACTTTACAAAAAGATTGTAATGGGCACAGTATCTTAGCATTTTACTCAGTTGTCTTTCAGAGTTTGTACAAGGGAAAATACAAAATCGCAGCTGACTAATAATAAGGCAGAGCAGTTCTGTAATGTAGGTGTATTCTCTGTCATGCATAGTGAACAACTTTTATTTATTGTATTGCTGCATTGTATGAGGAGATGACTACAGGCAAACTGGACACTCCTGTATCAAAAGCTTTTGATTTCATATATGTAGATGGAAAACAATTGGTGAAACATCAAAAGTTGCTTTTTCAAGGATCACCTTTGAAGAAATTAATTTTGAAATAATGGATCCGAGTCTTGGCAGTGAGGCCTCAAATAGATAAAACCTCATTACTTTCTGTGCTGTGTAACATGCTTATGTAGCTACACGTGGAGTCATTTTATAATATGGACTATAAAGATACTCCAAGCTTTATGTTGGATTTCTAGGGAAATAAATAATATATGTTCTTTTGTCACTGTTGAGATAAAACTTCCAAAGAATTGTAAAGGATTAATGTAGTCGAGGGTAAACAGTGAACCTGCTACTCTTTTCAAAACCCTAGTCGAGGTCTGCTTTTGCCAGAATGCTTCAGGAAAACTTTGACAAGTTAGAGCTGTGTGGTAGCAATTTAGGACTGAGATACCTACCTGAAATAAACCATGGAATTCTAAAGCCTAATAAACATCTTCATAAGGAATGGTAGTACATCTTCAGGGAATTTCAGAAGTTGCCAGAGTTACATTGCATCGTTATATGTAAAAGAAAATATGTGTCCAATGAAAGTGTAAAAGGCTAAGTAGAAAAGCTAGTTCAGACTGCAATTCAGCTGTGTAAATTGAGTAACTCTGAGAAAAGCTGTCTTAGACCTCTCCATTGCTGTGCTGCTTGGTCATTGTTTCAGAGATGGGAGCAGAGCATAATTTGACCAGCGTGATGAGTAAGAATTACTGTTAATTTTGGTTGGCGATAAAAATATTCACTCCTTTTATCCTGGAAGAATTGAGCTGTTGCTAGCAATTAATAGGCAATACTTGCAGAATAATTTTTATATATTTTGTTTCTAATAGATCAAATTTTTTTTACATAGGTATATGCTGTGACTGGGAAAAAAAAATATTTTTTGCTTGAGAGGTTTCTGACAGCTGTGTTCAGGAATCTTGACTGAACCTCCGGAGCTGTTACGCCCATAGTTCCCTCTTAGCATTATCCTGTAGTCTGCAGTCTGTTCAGTAGTGTCTGAGTTGGTCTTCATGAAGTTCATGTGACAGAAATTCTGGTATCCACTGATATATACAGAATAATATGTTTGTGTACTGGGCCTGACTTTTAGATGCCATGATAAAGTCTTCCTAATACTTTTACAGCAGGTTGGGTTAGAAAAAAAAAACCTGCCAGTATGTAATTTTTGTTGACAAGCACTTCAGTTTTAGTTAATAGTCCTGGACTTTCAGAATTGGAAAAAGCATTTTCTGATAGCCATCTAATCAAGCTTCACCTTCATGCCTTCCTAGAGACTTTTTTTCTTGTGTCTTCTTAATCAGCACAGTAAGTTAGTAGATGATTCCGTGTAACCTTGTAATTTACCTAAGCAAAGAAAATTGGTCTTGAATGGTTCCAGTGGCTTTTACTGGTAGCTGTGGCACTATCCCACAGGCATTCTTCTCTTTCATATCACTTTATTGACCTAGCACTCTTGGGACAAATGACCAAAACTTGTTCATAATGTCTGCATCCAAAGTTAGATACTAGTATTATCCTTTTGCATCCCTGGTGAAGAGTACACAGAGTTAAGGTACCAGCTTTACAGTTTTATTTAACTTATCTCTATACTTACAGTCCCTTTTGTTATGTTGCATGGCACTATTGGCTTCTATCTGCTAATTTTAGGACATTTGGAAAAGGAAATTTTCATGAAATCTGTTATGTTCGTTCTTGAAATTGCCAGCTGTCATACTTTTTTACTAAGAGTGGGGGTCCCAGGTAAAAGTAAATAAATGTCATTACCAGATGCTTCAGCTGTAAGTGGACTGTACTTTGTTGCAGCTCTGACTCACTTGCAATCTCTTCTTTTCCCTTCCTTTTTGTATACTTGCTGCATGCTGCATGACACTCAGAGTGAGGATGAAGAAACGGATTACGATATGAATGACTCAGATTAAGTGTAAATGTCATGGTGAGCACTAGCTGCCCTAGGATTTTAACCAGATGCTTTTCTGCCCCATCCAGTTCCCACCCCCACTAGTGCTGTCTTTTGGCTAGTCCTGGTGGTGTGTGTGTGTTTGTGATTATAGTTGTAGCATGGTTAGCAAAGGTAGACTTCCTGGTTTGGATTATTGCTGCTTTGACAGAGTAATAAGTGTTGCTTTTACAAACTGTATTGTGATTCGTTCCTTTAAAGCTTTGCTGAGAAGGAAAGTTCTTCATATAGACTGTAGGGTCACAATTGCTTTTCATTTTTATTTCGCATACACCACCTTTTCTGCCTAATGGGTTTTTTATATGTAGAGGCATCTGATACAGACTTACAGTATACATTCTCAGTAAATGTTTGATTTGGCAATAATTTAGCAAACTTGACTGAAGTACAGCGTAGTCCAAAGGTGATCTTATCTGATAATTTTGAAATTAATAATTTTTTGAATTGAGATATAGCAAATACAAGTAAATAGTATGATTGTGGTGCAACAGGAAACAACTCTCTGGGGAGGGATTCTTTCCACTGTTGTTTGACATCTGATACAAGATCAAGGTACTTTAAAAGTCACAAGTAGAAGAGCACAAAAAAACTTGCATCTGAAAGAATCTTTTCCTAACGTGTCTGCAAGCACTGCTCATATTTATTGTGCTCTTCAGTTTCTAGAAGATAACATACCATTGACTGTTCAGTGGTACAGTGTGGGTAGTCACATGAACCTGTATAAATCAAAGATATTTATCATTGCATGAGATTAAACTTCAGCTTCTCACCTATACACCTGAATTTTTTAGCTGTAAAGCAGCCTTATATTTATCTCTGAAGTTTGGATAATGCTCCCAAGTATATGATGTGATTCCTGAGGTTTTCCTGTGCAGGGCCAGGATCATCACTTGATGATCATCACTTGATGATCCTTGTGCGTCCCTTCCAACTCAGGATATGCTATCAATCTGTGATTCTGTGAAGTTGCTTCACATGGCTGAAGAAAAACCTACATTTTTTTCTTAAGTGATGCTAACAGAAACTACTGCTACAGTAGAACAAGACCTTTTGCCAAGTCTTCAGGAATGGCTGAAGGGAATTAATCAAATCTGAAGCTTTACTGAAAAAAAAGTAAACTGGCACTGTGCTGGAATCAAATGTAATATTCTTAAGCTGCAGAGGCAAACATTCCTTAAAACACTGTTCTAGCAGCAGCACCTTTATTTTGAATGGGAGGAAATAGTTCTCACGTTCTGCTTCCCTAAGAAGCAATCGCACTCGGGCTTCTAGAATTTGAGAGTTCATTCAGCGTTGTTTAGAATGTATAAGTCAACTTTGGATCTGGTGCACCTGTAGGGAAAACAGAACAGAAATGTGAAAACTAGGGTTGGGACAGTCCGAAGTATGAGTACAGACTGGGTGACAAATGGGTTGACTGAAGAGGACTTGGGAATACTGATGGGTGAAAACTTGGATATGAGCCAGCAATACTTGCAGACTAGAAAATCCATTATCAAGGACTGCAACAAAAGCAGCATGGCCAGCAGGTTCAGGGAAGTGATTCTCCCCCTCTACTTCACTCTCATGAGATCCGGCCTGGAGTGCTGCATCCAGCTCTGGGATTCCTACTACAAGAAAGACATGGACCTGTGAGACTGGGTCCACAGGAGGGACATGAAAATGGTCTGCGAGCTGGAATACCTCTCCTGTAAAGACAGGCTGAGAGAGTTGGGATTTTTTGGCCTGGAGAAGAGGAGGCCCGGGGGAAATGTTATTGCAGCCTTCCAGTACTCAGAAGAGCCTTATGAGAAAAATGGAGAAAGACTTTTTTACTGGGGCTCATAGTGAGAGGACAAGGGGCGATGCTTTTGAACATTGGGTTCAAATTTTTGAACCAGTTGTTTTTGATTGGGTATAATGATGAACATATTCTTTATTGTGAGAGTGCTGAGGCCCTGGCACAGGTCGCCCAGAGAAGCTGTGGCTGCCACATCCTTGGAAGTGTCCAAGGCCAGGTTGGACAGGGCTTGGAGCAACCTGGGCTAGTGGGAGGTGTCCCTGCCCATGGCAGGGGGTGGAACTTGATGATCTTTAAGGTCCCTTCCAACCCAACCCACTCTGTGCTTCTTTGATTTCCCCTTTAGTAGAGATAGAGGTTACTGAAGAAGTAGCAAGCAAAGTGTGTTAAAATATTGCCTAATATGATAGAATTTTCTGCTTTACATTGAGTTTACTGCTCAGCAAAGTGTGCAAAGTTCAGTGTCCAGATCTGGCTTAGCTTTATCTTATTGCATGTGCTCCTGATGCTACAAAAAGTAGTTCCAAGTCTATTAATCTTGTAAGTACTTTTTATCTTCCTGGAAAGAATGCACTCTTCTGCTTCCAATATTAAATTTGAAAGATTAACAACATTAATAGATCGACTATTATTTTCCAGATGCACAGGTATTTGTGGCAGCCATGGTTTTGTCTCTGTTGGATATGGTTTCACTTGCTGACCACATTTGCTGGGTCAGACCATTAGTCACTATTCTACTCCAGCACCTTGTTCTCAGCTGTGACCAACAGCAAATACTTGAGGAAAGAGTTTTAAATATGAAGCATTTATGGTATTTACTCCTGATACATTTCCCCACCTTCCAGTAAACCTCAGTTTAGGAATTTTGGCTTCAAGCCTTCATCCAGAAGACTGTGTGGAAGCTACGATGACACTATAACACCATGAGTCAGTATCAGTGGCATTATCTGTCTGTAAGTTTACCTAGTCCCTTTTGAATTCATTATACAAGCAGTTGCTGAGTCATTTACAGAGGCTGGCTTTTCCTCACGGAATTCACTTGTATCTTTCCTATAGTTTCATATGAAATGCTTTTTCCTTAGTACTGGTAGTAAATTATCCTCATGAAATAAGCAATGTTTGCATCTAAAATATACCCAAAAGCATGTTGTGTCCCAGGGAAAACATCTTTCTGTATCAAGAAGCAAAAGAAAATGAAGTATCATGAGACTTTTACTTGCAGATTAACATTCTTAAGTACCTGTGCTGAGTATATTTGAAGCTTTGCTTAATTATATATTTGGCTGCTCATGACAGCAGCCAAATATAGAACCCTGGGATTGGTTCTATAGCCTGCTGTCACAGTTCTAGAGTACTTCTCAGCCTGAGAGTTAACCTCATTATTGGTGGTTGCCATTCAGTAGAGCGACAGCATGAAAATATTGTTGCTTGGACAATCAGTCCTAAGACTTGATCCTTTCCTCCCTGGAGGAACCAAACAAAACTGAAACAGAAAAGGAGAAAAAACACTCAGACTGAAAGTAGAATAGGTGGTCTTCATGTTGTTGGTTTAAATCTTGCTGGGTTGTTCTCTTGGCCTTTGAAAACTTCCTGCATCATCTCACCCAGTGTGCCATTTTTGCACATTTTGATTTGCTATTTCATGTTTTCAATACTAATTTGTGGAACATAATTTGCATCTGAAACTTCAGAAAGTTAAGGATATTTTACTGGAACAGGAAAAATGCAGATTAAATTACATTTCTAATAAAGTACCCAAGTTCATTTGCCACACAGGACCTAAGGATGTTCAGAACTAAGATGAGGTGCAATGGCTTACTTTTTACTTTTGCCAACTCTTAAGCCTTGGTTATATTAATACTCAGTTCATAGCAGTCTTTTAGATCTGTTTTAATGGTGTCTGATAGTAGACACTGTACATATCAATCTGTCTTTTTTCAGCTTTAATGTACAAACCCCAGGAATGTCCTTGAACCAGGTCCTTGACACTTTACAGGTTATCTGAAATAGTCATTATGTTGCTCTTTGACCTCCATGCTTTAGGAATGACATAGAGCTAATTTTCATTTATAGATTTTTTATTGGTCTATTTCAGATTTTGCAAGAACGAGGTTCCAGGATGTGAAGACAGTATTGAATGGTGACAATTTTTTCACTTTTATTCGAAGATGCAGTGAATTGTCACACTGAAGAGGCTTGGCTGCAAAAGGAAAAATCTGATTTAGACAATTTTCTGTTGGTCTGGGTTCAACCATTTTTGTCTATAAACTGGGTGTCAACTGGCTGGAAGCATTGCAAGATTACATAATGGGAATAGATGGTGTGGGAGTGTGTGTTAAGTTTTGGTTGTAGTGCATGGTCGTACTCTCTTGTGGGCTGATTGACACTGGTCATTTGAAAAGAAATGACCATGCACTCGTATTTTCCTTGAAGACATGTAGCACTTAATGTCTGGTGCTCGATGACCCAATGTTGATCAGTCTGGAGACATTTTCCTACTAATTGTTGTAAACCTTAAAAGGACAATGCAATTGGTGCTACACACACTCACACACACACACACACACACACACACAAGCGTTACAGCCCACAAATGCAAGTATTTGGGCCTACATTGTTTCCGAATCAGTGGCAGCCCCAGTTGACTGTGTTATACTGCACATTCCTTTTGGCTCTGTGACATACTCTATTATGTAATAACAGCCTAGGAGATCAACTGAAACTAGCACGTGAAAAAATTACACAACAGAAAAAAGGTTTCTCTGGAGGAAGGGTGTATATATTGACTGGATTTATAGCATATTTTATCACCCAAAGGGAAGACTAAACTCAGAGGAAATGGCCTTCATCTGAGTTATTCTTGATGTTCCTTCTGTTAAAAGTCTCCTGCAAAAGTTATGCTCCAGTCTTAGCCAGATGCTTGGAAGGGGAATCAAAATTCACTTAAAATGACCAACTGAACATTCTATTTCTTTTGAGATATTTATACTCATATGTGTGTTTGTGCTTTTATAAAATGCCTATAAGCATTGAACTATGTGGTAGAGATTTTTCTAGAGCTGGAGGTTTTACAGAAGTATGGCAGGGTAGTCCTAGGTCCTTCTCACTATGACTGGGGTTAAAATCAACCTTAGTGTGAACACAAGCTCATCCAATTGAAAAACATGATTACTTTGGACATTCAGGATACCTGTAATCAACCTTTCTCTTTCTATACAGTTTCAACTATGCAGTTAAAGAAGAGTGTTTAAAAAAATCTGGTGCAGCTTTATTAGTTTGTCCTTGATGAAGGCTAATACACTAGACTGGAGCTTTTCAATACACTATGTTTTCAGCAAAATCTTTAGCGCATCTTTAAAACACTTAATGAAGTGGACAGTATAAAACTCGGCTTCATTAACTTATGGAAGCAGTGGAAGGGAGTTTTAAAAAGCTACAAGATTGTTTTGAATTCTAAAGACATTACAGTTTTCATTCTCAGTAATTTCAGAATTTATGCATATACTGTAGGTAATCCTTTACTCAAAAGCCTGATTTTCAAACACCCAGGGTCTGCTCTTTTTTTTTTATTGCTTTTTTTTTAAAGGACTTACACATTGATAAAAGTTTGGCAGAGAACAATTTGTAAAAAACATTTCTACTAAGCAGGCTAAGCAGTGGGCTAAATGTTTTGTCTATGCCTAATGCTTGAAAGGGTTTGTACTGTTTTGCGACTTGGATGTGGTCTGCACAGGAAGCTGCTGGCCCCTCCACAACACATACAATTTTTGTCTTTTTTTAAGAAGTTAAAACGGACTTTAATTTACTAAAAATGTAATTGTGTAGGGGGAAATGTTTATACTTTTATACTTTTTTAGGCACCCATATTTTATCAGCTTAAATTGAACACACAAATTTCCCCTAAATAGTAACTGATTATCTTGTGTATCTGAAAATAAGCATAACAGTTGTCTGTGTTAACTGCACATTAAAACATTTCCTCTGCTGCAGTAGTCACTGTGTTTTTAAGCAGTATGACTCCACCAAATTCTCTGAGCTCCCCAGCTCATGGAATTGCAGCCAACCATGTTATTTGTTGTTTTCCTGACGTGCTCTACAGAGAAATTCAGCATTGGTTTTAATGCCTAAAATGCCTGTTTTACAATGATCATTCTGAATCAGCATTTCTGGTTTTTTCTTTTATTTAACCCCAAAAAGACAGACTATTGTTTATTAAAGCGAAATTTTCCTAAATGACATCAACAAAGCATGAGTAACAAACTGAGCAAACTGAACAAATTTAGAATGTGTAAAAGAGTGGGGGTTTTTAAGTACTTTTTTTTTTCAGTGGAGTATTTTCAGTTTTAAAACATGCTTTTATTATGAGATTACCTGCAGTCTAGTTTACATTGTATTCCTGTCATAGCAGATTTTGGGGAAATGAGTGTTTAATCATTTTGCACTTTGTTTCCAATACCTCACAAAGATTTTAAGAAGGAAAGAAAAAAAGAGAAGTTTAGTAGGCAGGTACCTTGTAAAAGATTTTAAATATGCCTTTGTTTGAGACCACTTGAACTAACTACTTTTCCATTCTTGCTACTGTCATTATTGTTTTAATTTTTGTGAACATGTGAGGCTTTCAGATAGTTGGAAATGCTATTGTCAGCCTTTTTCAAGGCATTAAGAATTGATCCCTAAATAAGTTTGGTTTCTTTTTATTTTACTCTTGCAGTTTCAATAAAGTTAGCTACAGTAACAAAGTCATTGCCTTAGAGTCCAATCCACATCACCAGGGTTTGCAAGCACTGCTTCCTCTTTTAAGATCTTACAGGATGAAGTAATGTACCAATACAGTTTAAACGGGAGTCCTTTGTTTCTTTTCTGCCATTTGGAGAGTACCTACCTGAGAACTGCCTGGGATTCTGGAGACCTGAGGGTTCACTGACAGGCTGGAGCTGCAAAGCTGTACTGCAAACCCCTGTGACCGAACTCTGAATTTACACAGCTCCTCTATTCTTACATCAGAACAGTATTCCAGGTTGGAACTTAAGCATGAAGAGATCATAGCGGAAGGAGATAAAGCAGGAAGGGAGAGATACTAAATTCCTTAAAGGCTTTTACATGACAAACTTCTTGCAAAACTTGTTTAAAAGCTGAGAAGTTGAAATTTGCCATAGCAATTTCTTGCTTTGAGTTAGAAAACAGAGAGGGTATTGTTGGCCTTAAGTTTCCTCAGAGGCCATTTTCCTTTTATCGGAAATGACATTTTTATATTATATGCTTTTGACTTCTTCAAGTGCCAAGCGAATCAGAGTTTATCTGCAATGAAGAAGTAATTCTGAGGCCTCTAAGATGTGAATGTCATATGGTCCATAATAATTGTCCAAAAGTATAGTCTGAGTCAGCAGTTCCCACAGTAAACAGACAGAAGGTTACCTGGAATTTTATCCCATCTCTCTATAGGATTTCCATGGATTATGGCTAATTGCAAGGGGTTTATTCCACAGTAATTTAATTGTGTGTCAAAGGCCTGATTGAATTCAGAAGCTTATATTGACTCTTTACTAAAGTGTCAGTTCTCAGAACAAAATGTACTGTGTTTTTTTCAAACTCAGATAGGTTTCTTTTAATGATAAAAGTTCCTTTCATCTTGCATTGTAGGGTTAGGAAAAGATATTTCTTAAAAAAATGAAGCTTAGTGTATCCATCTTGACTTTTTTGTTTTCAGATTTTCTTTAGACAATACTTACGTAGCTCCATTTCCAGCAATGTGAATGCACAGTTATGATCAATTAGAACTATTTCCTGCAGATAACAAAAATTGAATCAATCTCCTTTTCTCTGAAAGAGGTGGTTTGTTGTTTTGTTGTGTTGGTTTTTTTTTTTCCCCAGGAGAAATATGAAAGCTTCTGGTAGATTAAACAAAAGAAAACTGGGTTGCAGGCATGCTTGTGGAACTAGTCTGTTGAGTAGGATGATGGTGTTATCAGAAATGTGCTTCTCAGAATGCTATTCTGTGAATATCTCTTGAGATTGTTGAGAGTTGTCAGTCTTTTTTTGAGCTGTAGAGAGCTACCACCAGCAAATTAGCATACATTTATTAAAAATTACTGGTTTTATTATTGTTACAAAAATGACCTTGGAGTGCAAAAATGTAATAGTATCTGATTCAATGAAATAACATAGAAACCAGATAACAATCATGCAGGTATACTGGAATACATTTCTTGAGAAGTACTGGGAGAAGAGTGAAGTCCTGGGCTTTTCATGAAGATCAAAGTCAAGTGAAAGAGAGTCTGGAGATGAACCCTGGAATTCTGTTCACTTGAGATGTTATAAAATCAGAAAGCGTCACTCTCTTATTTTATTCTCTTTCTCACCACATCAAAAGTTTCCAAGTTTTTCAAATTAACTTCTTCAATCAGCCCTGAACTATGGGGCTCTTGAAAAGAGATATTTTGTTTAGCTCAAGACAGTAGGATTAAAACCTGAGTGGTCATTGGGAAGTGTCTTTTCTAACACAACAAATTTGAAATACTTACAGTCTGAGGATGCTGCCTGTTACTTCATTATAGTTTAGACTGCAGTTATCTCCAGCTTTAAGGACAATCTTGGGATCTTACCTGGGTTTGTGTGTAGAATTATTGATTCTTAAAATAGTATAAATATTCAGTTTAAAAAAAAAAGTGGAAGGCTCTCTGAACTGTGTCATATAACTTTTCTTTTAGCTCACAAAAATCACAAGTTGTCTTTAAAGGTTTTTTACTGAACTGAGGCTTTAAAGGGCTAAATAGATATTACTGTTCAGTTTGCCTAAATGACTGTCAGAAGGAACCCTTTCCATTTTCAGTGCAGAAATGCCAAGGGCTAAAACGCTTTCCAGGGCTAATTTGAGGTTCCAGAGACATACAACATTCAAAAAGTAACTAGTCTGTTTTCTGTTCAACTCCTGGACTCTAAAATAATTTTTAGAAATGGCTGAACCAATTGCAGATATAAGTGTTCCTATATGGCTTGGAATTTCAGTATCCAGATTGGATATAGGAGCACACTAGAGAAGATAGTAGACTTGCCCACGATTTTACTATTGCCCGTGCTGAAATCTAGCAACTTCTATGAACCACACTGCCAATGGAGAGGCTTTGAGGAAGATTCTGCCCCAGGAAATTGTCACAGAATATTTTTTCACAACTTAATTGTCCTTTACTTTAGCAGGGTCTACCAAGGCATAAACTTCTCAGAAGTTCAGTGAATAGACACTGCTGCAAATACAGGTTTCTGAACCCATCAAAGGGTTCTCCTTAGGATGTTGTGTGTTAATAACTACTATAATGACAGGAACTTTTTAGAAAGTTATTTTGCTACTTTGGGAGTGGGTGGAAGGGGGAGGAGGTTCTGTGACAGTGCTCTCCTTGCCTGAGCCTAAATTTTGACCTGACTTAAGTTGCGGTATTGAGGCCTAGCCATCTGGAATGTAAGGGTTAATGTATTTATGTACGTGATTCTTGCTACTTTTGAAGATTTTCCAAAAGCTTATGCACAACTTTACTCACATTAATTTGGCTCTTGTACTTGCTAGAATGAAGCAAGTGCTAAGGCACTGTAAGAGAAATGTTGCCAATCTCTCTACCTAGAACTGAAACAAGATCACCAAACTGAAGAAGTATCAAATGGCAAATTTTTCCACCTGCTTCTAACCTTAGTCTCATCTGAACCCAGCTGTGAAAAATCTATTTCCTATGCACTCTATAGGCCCACCTACCCAGTTCAACAGATGTTCTTTATTTTTCTTTTTCCTCCAAATCACTGGTCTCAAAATTAGTTGTGCATCAGCTGTTTGTGCTTATATCCAAGTGGCCATACTTGCAACATGTTCTTTCCTGGATAGTGGATTAGCAATAACACTTTATTTTGTGCCAATTCATTATCTCTGAAGTGTTCTTACTGCAGCAAAATTTGAGTTTTGATTTGGTTTTAATGCATTTGCATTAGCCAAAACTCTTAGCACAGACATAGACAAGAAAGTGAATCCAGGGAATTTCCCTGGAAAGAAATCTGCTAGGGCTTCCCATATAATTTGAAGGTGGTTACAGTTAACCATCACTTTTAAATCAAGCATACAATTAAAAAGTGTGTGGGTATTTTTTTAAACTCCTTTTCATAACACTGGTGTATTGTAAACTGCATGAAATAAACCTGGTTTTTCCCTTTTAAAGTCTCATGTCTTAAATCTGGTTTTTTTTCCAAATGTATTAATTGATATTAACAGTGTAATATCACTGATAATTCCTAGTTTAGCACTTCAGATGTAAATTGTAGTTGCATATTTGTGTAGTGTGTACCTGGACTAGAAACCAGTTTATAAAGGGGACCTAACCAAGTAAGTAATTAACATCCTATTTGGATCTTATAGAACTTTCAGAGTTTATCTGGAGCTAGTTTTACTTTCAGTCAGAAGTTTCACTTCAGAAAGATGAAAGTGACCCTGCAAATTCATCTTTCAGTGGGCTGAGGTCTTGCCTGGTAGTAATAAACACACAGTCCATATTTATGTGATGTTCTCCAAGACTGCAGTTTTTGCAATTTCATGAGATAGATCTAGTCAGCCGAATGGGAACAGTTTCCACTGCTTTTGGTAATATCACTGAAATTGCTGGGAAAGGTGCACAGGGGGTATGTGTTTGTCCTGGGCCGCCGTGGGCATTTGCTGCCGGTGAAAGTTTTTTCAGCCAGAGGGACCCTTCAGCACACGCTCTGACTAGGGCTGACTCAAATCTACGTGACTAGTTATTGAGACAGTCAATTATAGAGTTGCCAAGAAGCCCTTTGGACTGTAATAGTACCCAGCACGCAGTTCCAGAAGCACCGACACAGCGCAGGGCCCGGCCAGGCAGAGCATCCGGGACTAGAAATTTTCCCATTAAAATCAGAAATATAACTCAAAGACGAGATCAGAATGTGACTCATACTCTGCCACTAAAAATGCGTTCTTGGAAACCGAAACCAAACAACCACCCGCTAAAAACCCTCTAAAACCCGAAGAGACCCGAGACCCAAACCCCGCACGAGCATCACGTATCCAGCGCGCGGCCGGAGCCCGCCCCACGCCCTCCCATAGGTCGCGCCGCCTGCCCATCACCAGGGCAAGGGCCCATCCTCCAATCAGAAGCTCGGCTGGGTACAGTGGGCGGGGTTCGGCCAGACCGCGCGCTCCCTCCCGCTGTGGGACGGGGCGTTTTCAGGGTGCGGGCGGGTTCCGCAGCGTAGGAGGTGAAGGTTGCTTCAGTTTTCGGTCGGGACTGGCGAGAGCCAGGGGCGCGAGGAGGGATCGGTCCTGGGAGAGCCCCGCTTGGATTCTTGCCGGCGCTTTGTGCTCAGGCATCGTCCGGGCACCTCTGGGTCCTGTGTCGTGAGGGTGCGTAAAGCCTGGCGAGTGGCGGGCGGCGCGCGGCGCGGACGGGTCGGGCCGAGGGACATACTAGTGCTGTCACGCTCCGCTCCCGGGCGAGAGGGAGGGAAACTCCGGCGTGGAGACAAAAGGGGGGGGGAGCGGGAACATCCGGGTCACTCGCGCGGCCTCGATCCGGGACACGCGCGGCGGCGGCGGCGGCGGCGGCTCCTCTCGGTGAGGCCCGGCCGGGAGCGGGGCTGGGAACGGGAGCGGGACCAGGAGCGGGACCGGGAGCGGGGTGGGTGTAGGCAGGGCCGACGGCTCCTGCCCGCGGCGGGCCGGGCCGGGCCGGGCCCGGCGGCCACGGGCGTGCGGGCCTGGCGGCTCGTGCCCTGAGACCGGGCCCGGAGCGCAGCGCTGCCTGCCCGCGGCTGCGAGTGCCCCGTGGGTCTCGGTGGAGGAGGTCGCCCAGGAGGGCCGGGAACCGCCGGGCCTGCGCTAGCCGGGCCCGCCCCGCCGGGCACTCGCCCGGCATCGGCGGGCGGGCCCGGGGTGTCCCGTGCAGGCCTCGGGCCGTCCAGCACCGAGCCCATCGCCGCGCGGCATCTTCTGTTGTTCTCCGTGCGGCTCCGGTCGCCGCTTGGCCTCTTCTGCCTTTTTCTTGCCGCAGGCAGAGGAGACTTTTTCCCAGTCCAGAGTTGGCTTTGATTAAATCTCAGCCCGTGGCTTTCTCCACCCTTCTGAAAAATAAAAGTCTGTACAGTTTGGGAGCAAAACGTGGGTAGAGACCTTTCCCAAATCTTCGTTCGCGAAGCCCAGCCATGACTCCCATAATAATTTGTTCCTACGTCGGTATTTAACCTGCGAAGTAAAAATGTCAGGCTGGTAATCTGAACGTTTGGGGATTTAGAATTAATAAGATCTATTGGAAATTCTTGAAATTTAAGGAGCGTGGGTTTGATGTATTTAGAGACTTTTCTGTGGCACGGGAATGGTTCTTTGTAAGAATTGCATTTTGTGCATGGCAGGAGGTTGTTCCATAAGAGGATGTAGATGGGGAAGATGTTCTGTAATGGAACACAAAAATTTGCACCTATGATGACTGTATTGGTTTTGTTTTGTCCTTTTCCAAAATAGGCAGTAACAGAAGCAGGGATAAGCAACTGAGTAAATTTGGAAGTTTGAATTAACTTTCTGAATTGATAGGGGACACTGCTACCTCTTAATGGCAGGGTGTGTTTGGGGGATTAAACTCAAATAAAATGTGAAAACTGGTCTCTTAGACTTGTCTGGCATGTACAGGGTAGGGTTGATAGACTTCCTTTGGTGCGAAATTATTTCCAGTGATGTGGCACATAAATAGATGGGGATATAGAGAATAAATATTGGCAATTTGTTAACAGATTGCTTTTGAGGGGATGCTTACCTAATGGAATCTTAATTTTTGAAACAGGCTTTCAGTCTTCTCTGTCTAATCTCTATTTTCTAGTAAACTGTGATGAGGTTTTAGGTGCTTGTCTGCCCATGTCAGTATGACTGAAGCCTGTGGGAACCATACACATGAAGCCTGTTGTCTCTCACACACACTGAAACTTTTTATGTAGTCTATCAGTGCTGAACTAAGTAAAATGCCTCAAGGTTTGAAAAGATATTTGTAGAACATAAGCAAATCTTTAATGTACTAGGGCACAGTATAGTGCATAACAAAAGCAGGATGCATGGCCTGAAAACTGAGGGGTTTGTCTTGAAAAGTTATTTGATTGGCCATGTTCTGTAGGACATACACTGTTTGTTTATGTGCCTGTGAAAAACTGGCATTTCCCTTGGGGTACATGTAATTAGTTGGCTATTAGCCATAGGAAATGGAATTCATGTATTTGAAAGCATCCTGTAATGTGTCTTTTTGGCAGAAAAGGTAGCTGATTTACTAAACTGAGAATATTTGGATGGTTTATAAACAAAAAATAGTTTTCTCAAACTATGATGGGAAGGTTGGTATTACTGGACCACCAGATACCAGCAGCGCAACTGAAATCTTGCTGTATAGTCAGTAGTTCGTTTACATCTGTTGCAAGTGTGTGGGCTCACAGCATATTTAAAATGACTCCATGTATAATTTGGTTAAGGGAGAGGGGGTTTTTTGTTCCACTGGTACCTTTTTCAGTGGCTCCATATCTCCTGTGTGTGAACAGACTAAAACCCAAAGTTGTGTACAGTTTGTGTTGACTAAGTCCTGCAAATCTTCTGACATAACTCAGATACAGGTGCATGTGTTGGGAATTCTAGAGGAAAAATTGAACAATATAGGATTTTTGTATGTGTATGTTCACTGAGTGTTAATGGTCCCTTTTAAAAAGCTTTATCTCACGTTAATTTAGTTGCTAGTTTGAAGGTGAAAAAAAAAAGGCTGGAAGAAGGGATTTGAAATATCCATTGTCCTAGGAACTGCATAAAATGCTTAATCTGGTGCTTTTAAAGAGCTACAATTGATATATTAATTGTAGACTGCAATATTCTTGTAAGTAATCTACATGTTGAGAGATTGTAAAATTTTGCATAATGCTTAACCAGTGTTTGTTTCAATAGAGTGGTAATACTACTTTCCTTAATTCTATGAGGTGATTAAGTGTTCTAACAGTAAGAGAACAGTAAGACTTCTACTCTCCTGGCTGTCATAAAGGCTTGTGAGTTACATGTGGATTTGAGAACAAGTTGGCCTGACTTCTCCCACTGCCAATTATCAGCTCTTAGGATGGGTAGAAGTGCAGCTGGGAGGAGGATTAAAAACCTTCACTGGTGTTTATTTTGACCATGTAGCTAATGAAACCCTGAGTTTAGATAATTTGACAATGAAAAATAAACTCTTGCTTCGAGGACTGTTCTGGGTAAATGGAGAATCCTCCCCTGTATTTGCAAGCACCACTTGTGCAGCCATCGTGTCTGGAACTGCTCTGTGTCATGCAGCAGTGACCTGTGCTCTGGTGTTTCCTCTGCAGCCTTGGTCGCCATGCTTGGCTGTTACTGAGGCAGTGAAGGTGCAGATATCGTTCAGTTGATACTGGAATTGAAAACCTGTCTTGTGGAACGAGCCACTGGTTCTTCCTTAGCTCAGTTCTGTATTGCTGTCTGTTCCTGCTCTTGTCTAGAAGTTGTATAGTGGCATCACTGCAAAAGCGATGTGACTTTGCTAAGTTCTGTGCCTGTGTTGCTTTTGTGTGGAATCCCGGCTTTCAAAAGGAATTTACCCTAAAAGTAACATTTCTTATTCCCATTTGCCAGAAATGGGAGAAGTACAGGTGTTTGCCCGCAGAGGAAAACCATTCCTTGTGTGGTGTAGGAAGGAAATAGAGACGTGTTTATCAGTTGCACAAGTAGGAAGTCTGAGCACTCTTTCCATTACTAACAGACTTTGTGTTTTCAAGCTACTGTCAAAGTTGCTTCTGAGATGTAGTTCAAATATAAAGCAACAAGGTAAGGATAGAATTTTGTAGATCAAGGCCAGTAACTAAGAACTTGATGACAGGGGCAAACTTGATGTTATTCCTGATGTTAAGTTCTGCATGCTGTGCAAAAACGTGTCTTCAGTTTAAACAGTTACAGAACTGAAAATCAGAGGCCAAAATAATTCCTAAGTGAGCAGGGCTTATTAACAAGTAATATAATGTGTTGTTTACACTATAAGTAAAAGTTTATACTAAAAGCAATTACTTTTGTTTTAGAGGGACTCTGAATATGTCTGGCATAGCTCTTAGCAGACTTGCACAGGAGAGAAAAGCCTGGAGGAAAGATCATCCATTTGTAAGTATGAGAACTGCCAAATTTCT